CCGAGCTCGACGAACTAAGGAAGCAGTTAGATTACCTATTAGGAAGCAGTTTATCCGACCGAGCTCGTCACCGTTCGCCGCACCGATACTGTTCACACCGAAAAAAGACGGAGGATTTCGCATGTGCATTGATTACCGAGCGCTCAACAGAGTAACAGTCAAATCGCGGTACCCCATCCCCCGCGCCGACGAATTGATCGACCAGCTGCGAACATCACGGGTATTTTCGAAAATAGACTTACGGGGGGGTTACCACCAGATTCGGGTCGAACCATCGGACTACGCCAAAACAGCATTTAGAACTAGGTACGGGTCATTCGAATATACGGTGATGCCTTTCGGGCTGACAAACGCACCCGCAACATTTCAGATGACCATGAACGAGGTGTTTAGGCCCCTTTTAGATAAATGCGTGATAGTTTACCTCGACGACATCCTCGTTTACAGCCGCGACAAGCAGCAGCACTTAGTCGATCTCGAAGCAGTTTTTAAAATTTTAGCAGAACATCGATTACTCACCAAGGGCTCCAAGTGCGAGTTTTTTCGGGACAGGCTAGAATTTTTAGGACACGTTATTTCGGAGGCTGGGGTTGAAATCGACCCTAAGAAGCTGGATACTGTCAAAGCGTGGCGTCCCCCGACGAACATCACGGAACTACAGAGTTTTTTAGGGTTCGTTAATTACGTCCGTCGGTTCGTCCCCGACATGGCGCGCTTAACGGCCCCGCTCACGGATTTACTGCGTAAGGGGGTCGCTTTTACGTGGGGGGAGAAAGAGCATGCTGCCTTCTCTGCCCTGAAAACTGTTCTCTGTTCACCACCCGTCCTACGCATCGCTGACCCACGTCGCCCCTTCGAGGTTGTTACAGACGCGAGCGACATCGCCATCGGAGCCGTACTGCTACAGGACTTCGGCAACGGCCTCCAACCCATCGCCTACGAATCACGCAAACTGCATCCGCCTGAGCGAAATTACCCGATACACGACCGCGAAATGCTCGCGATCGTGCACGCATTCAAAGTGTGGCGCTGCTACTTGACCGGCGCAGACGTGACAGTACGGACAGACCACCGATCCCTTCAGTACCTCCGTGCACAACCCCATCTCAACCCACGACAGATTCGATGGCTCGATTTCCTCGAGTCAAATTTCCATTACACAGTCACCTATAAAAAAGGAGCCTCGAATATCGCCGACGCACTGACCCGCCCCACTGCCCAGATCCATGCGATACTACTCGCCCAGACTAGTCCGCTACTGACAGGACTATTTACCCACAGATATCAAACAGACCCATTCTTCACAGGAGGAAACTCGCAGCAATTCGCAGCAGCCAAGGGAGTCTATTACGTAAAAGCTGGAACCGACCGCATCTGGGTACCAGGGTACACACTACTACGGGAATTACTGTTACAGGAGGCACACGACGGAGTTACCTCGGGACATTTCGGAGTAGAAAAAACACGGCAGCAGCTGCAGCGGTATTATTACTGGCCCGAAATGTTGACCGGCGTGCAACGACACGTGGCGTCGTGTCCCACTTGCCAGATCATGAAGTCAACCAGGAAGCGGCCGGCGGGACAATTGCAGCCGATCCCACCCCCAGAGCGTGCATGGCAGCAAGTGACGATGGACTTCGTCACGGGGTTACCGGCCGGGGCGAGTGGGAATGACGCGATCTTGGTCGTCGTCGATCGACTAACGAAAATGGCACACTTCGCAGCCTGCAAGAAATCAATCACAGCCGAGGAAACAGCCCGCCTCTTCATCTCGACCGTCGTTCGACTGCACGGGATACCAGCATCGATCATCAGCGACAGAGACACGAAGTTTACCAGCAACTTCTGGCGGAACCTGTGGCAGCAGTTTGGCACGCGACTACAGTTCAGTTCATCGTATCACCCCGAAACCGACGGACAGACAGAGCGGACAAACCAGACCATGGAGCAGCTCATTAGGGCCACGTGCGACGACCCAAACACGTGGGAACAGCAACTGCCACTCATCGAATTCGCAACGCGCCATCCGCCACGACCCAACAGTCACCGTTTTACCTAAATTACGGACAAGACCCCACAGTACCCATGACCCCAAATCCCGACAACCCCGTCCCACGTGCACAACAATTCGCCGAGATTTTGCAAGCAACACGCACCAGGGCAGCAGAAGCAATCAAGAAATCGAACATCATCGCTAAACGCAACGCCGACCGCCACCGCAGACCTGTCACTTATCAGCCCGACGACCTCGTTTTACTCGACACTCAAAACCTCCGCCTGCCCGTCACTCCAAAGCTCCGTCCCCGATATTGTGGGCCATTCCGAATTAGCCACATGATTACACCCGTCACCGCACACCTCCTCCTCCCTGCTGACTGGTACGTCAGCCCCTCGTTCCACGTCAGCTTTCTTCGCCCCTACGTACCGTCCGCCGGCCAACTCCCACGACATCGACCGTCCAGCATGACACGACCACCATCTGAACCAATCATCACCCCCGACAAAATCCTGAGTCACAGAGTTCGCGACCCCCGAGGAGCTCGAAAGATCGAGTTCCTGATCCGCTGGAAAGACCGAACACCCACCGAGGACAACTGGGTTCCCGTGGACAAGATCGAAAACCACCCCGTCCTCACCGAATATCTACGCAGCCGAAACTTCAAAGACGTCCACGCACTTTCGTAAGAGGGACCCCCTTAGGAGGGGGGGTAGTGTAAGGAAAATCCCTTTTCCTTACTTCGCATCCCTGCTCAACGCGTACATCACTGTAGCACCTCAGTCAGCACCGTTACCACTCGCGATCATCGCATCGACAATCATCCCGCCATTTTCGCACATCGCATCCCGAGCTCACGGCTCGACGGGTAACCCGCGCTCCGGGCCTACGCTTCGACATTTTCCCAACCTCAGTCCCAGGCTCGTCGCGCGACAACCACAGTCCATTACCGTTACCACTGTAGTTTCGCTATATATTCTTCGCTCATGCCTTCGCTCATTGTATTCTTGCTTCGATAGTGCAATTCTCGTTCGCTCACTCAATTGCACTCGTAACAGACAACCATTTCAAAGTGTTTCTGATGAAGGACAAGGCAATATCAAAGGAAGTTGCACATGCCACCTCAACCACATTGCATCTCGATTTTGTCACTGGCGGCTCCACTGTGCTTCCACCGAATTTTGTGATTGAATGAAGCCACGGCTGGCGGTATGACGAGATGGAAGCTGGCTCGTATCGAGCGTCCACGGAATCCAGTCTTGGGTCCCTCAATATGATTCCACAATGTCAGCTTTGCAGAGAGCTGACCTCATCGGACGGCTCATCTCGGCAATCAGCCTGGCCGCGTTCAGGTCTCGGATCCGATCGTCCAATGAAATGAGGGTTTGCTGGCACCGTTTCGATTGATGGTCCGGGCCTCGGCTATCAACGCGGTTCAAAGGATGGCTCGGAAGCGTTACTACTGGACACGTCGCGTCGTGTCGAAGCAAAAACCGAGGCTCGCCGATTGGAAAATGGAGCGAAATGGGGTGGCGGAAAGTTGTTGGCTGGTGGAATTTGTACCCACCAGAAAGGGGCTGGTGGAAAGTTTTCGGAAAACCTCAGGGAAAACTTGGTGAGATGTACGGGTGAAAATCTTGGTTGTGGGCAAGTCGAGGCAGGTGCGGCTTGGTTCCTTTCACTTTGGATGGTGTCAAAAAAGGTGTCCACAGAATCAACCGTCTGAAGGTACACTTGAACTACGCGGAAACGCAGTACATTGTTTTGAACCGCATACAACCCACGGTCTTACGAATGCATGCTGCTCTGAGGGACTTGAGTGCACACAACCTCACTCGGTTCGACCCCTTCTATCCACTTTATCCATGACTTCCCCAGTGCTTCCCTTTGCTGCATTCCCCCCCCAAACCACACCACCAGCAAAGCGACCCTACCAAGGCCATGCGATGTGATTTATGTCTTGGTCGCAACCAAAATCGTCATCGAATCCCCTCCCAAGTCAGTTTGCATGCCTTCAAATGCAACGCATTCCATCCATTCCATATGCCCCTGTCGCGTGCCCGTTCCAGCCTCGCTTCCTGCTTGTGGCCTCTTCGCCGCTATGCTGACGTGGCATCTCCGCGACTCGATATTCCGTCACCCAGCCGCCAGTTTATTCGATACGAGATGTTAGAGTCAACTCGATCTAGAATCATCCCTAATTTCTCTGCTCCCTCTCCCCATCGACAACCAGTCGCCAATTTCCAGGGCTGGAACGTATATACCCTGGCCGCCTGGCCTGATCGCACGACATGCGCGGTGCGGTGTGCGAGCATTACGATGCTTCCTGTCAAGAAGCATAAGCGTACTTTGCACCGTGTTTTACAGTTCTATCCTAGCCGCCTTTTTCTCGCTTCTGTTCTGTACCTCCCACATACACCTAGTGTCAACATTTCTACTCTTCGTCATTGCGCTCCTCACATAATCTCGCCATGCCCCTCCGCGAGTCTTGTTCCACCCCCCGTTCCACCTTTCAATACCTTTTGAAGTGCCTCATAAGTAGCCTGATAGTTTGAAGGGATGGTGCCTTTTTTTTCCAATATATGGATGCTCCAGCTCTGATCGGTTTGGGAAAGTCGAGAAAATAGAGTACGAGGTGCTGACGTGGATCGTTCCCGTTTAGTGTTTCCAACTAGAGCAGACCCAATCAGACAGTCCCAGTCGTATGCGTTCTTACCTTCACGCCCACATGAGAATGGGAGAGCACGCCACGTCACTGCATGCAAGAGCACTCCTCCGGCCGTTAAGACGCGCCGCCTCGCTCCTCCTCTTCCTGCATCTCCACCTCGCCTCCTCCGCGTTCCTCGGTCTCGCGCGAGCTAATGAGTCGTTGGATGCTCTCGAGGCTGCCGAGCCTTTAGTAGACGCTACCGAGCCGCCCGTCAATGCGCGAACTGCTCTCGATGCTCGTAGCTCTCTCGATCATGCTTCCCCCGAGCGCAACAGCCCCTCCGCGGGCATCGGCATGTTCGCGGGGAATGGCTCCTACGCAGGGAGGGGCTCGTGCGCGTCCGCTTCCGCCTCCTTTTCTGCCTCCGCTTCCGCTTCTTCCGCTTCCGCTTCCGCGCTCCCCGTGGTAGTGTGGCACGGGTTCTTCGACTCGTGCAGCAACGACAAGAGCGTGGGGTATCTGCGCGCCGCGGTGCGGGGCGTGCTTCCCGACGTGTTCTTCCACTCCATATGCGTCAAGGAAGAGGGCGTCCGCGATATAAGCTCCTCCATATTCGGATCGATCGACCAACAGGTAGCGATATGGAAAGAACATAGCAGTAGCGAACAGTAACTGGGTTCAATAATGCTCGTTCTAAACAGACAATAAACGACGTGCCAGGCAACAGGGGAAATCATAGGAGGCAAAAGTCATACGTGCATTGCTCCCTCCTCCCCCCTACCCCCCCCCCCTCCCCAACCCTTCTCCCCCTACCCTCCCCTCTTCTCCTTCACCCACTCTTCACCCTCCCCCTCCCCTTTGTTCCCCTCTTCCTACAATTCCCCCCCCCCCCTTCCCCCCCCCTCTCTTTCTCTCCCCGTCGCAGATCGACGAGGTCTGCGCGTCCCTCGCAGCCATTCCGCAACTCGCGGGGGGCTTCAACGCCATCGGAATCAGCCAGGGCGGGCTGCTCTTCCGCGCGTACGTGCAGCGCTGCAACTCTCCCCCCGTGCGCACGCTCATCACGCTCGGTTCCCCGCACGCGGGCATGGCGGCGCTTCCTTACTGCGGCCCGAGCAGGGAGAGTGATGCGGAAAATAAAGAGGAGCTGAACCATGCCGGGTGCATGCGGGGTGGGGATGATGATGACGTGGCGGCGAACGCCACGTGCAGCGCCAGTGTGTCAGCGGACTGGGAAGGGGAAAGCACGTGGCAGGAGGAAGGGGAGGAATCGGGCGGACTTAGTAGTTTAGGAGGCGTTGGCGTGTCGGCGCTAAGAGTGCTTGCAGCAAGTAGCAACGGCCTTAGCGGCTTCAGCGGCGGGTTGAGCGGACTCAGCAGCGGCTCGGGTAGTCTAAGCGGCTTCAGCGGCGGTCTTATTAGCTTTAGCGGCGGAATCAGCGGCGGAAGCTTCGCTGGAAGCAGCGAGATTGCAGGGAGCGTAACATGGGCGGTGCTTAGTGGCTTAGGGACGGCTATAGACTTCTGTAAACTTTTAAAACCGCATATGCACCAAATTTACCAGCCCTGGGTACAAAAGTTTTTCATGCCCGCGCAGTACTTTCGGCTGTGGCGGCACATGGATCGGTACTTGCAGCGGAGCGCGTTTCTCGCGGATATCAACAACGAGCGCGGCCCGACGAGAAGGAATGAGACGTACGCTGCTAACGTACGGAGCTTGGAGCGGTTCGTACTGGTGCGATGGGAAGATGAAACGATGATCTCGCCTCCCCAGTCATCGGTATGTTACAAGTCCATGCGAATATTGCGCTGAGTAATGGGAAAACATCTAGCCGCAATCCGTGTGCGCAATCCGTGTGCGCATTTCCCTTCCCCCCGTGCAATGCTCTCGGTGCATCCCTTCCATCTCCCTTTCCCCCCTTTTCCCCACCAATCACTTTCTCTCAAACTACCCCACCCCCCACTCCTCCCCCAGCTTTGAGCATCGCCTAACCCAGCTTCCCCCCTCTTCTCCTCCCCTCTTCCCCTTCCCCCAATTTCCCCGCCTCCCCAACTTCCCCACTTCCCAACCTCCCCAACTCCCCCATCCCCAAATATTTTCTGCCAGTGGTTCTGGTCGCACGACCGCTTCGGGAATCTGCTCCCGTTACAAGAGCAGCCGATGTTTGCAGAGGATTGGCTGGGGTTGCGGACCCTGCACGAGAAGAAAAAGCTGCACTTCACCACCATGCCTGGCTCTCATGTAAGATTCCTAGCAAAGAAATAACGTGAATATTGTCTTGTGACAACTGAATGCTTGTGCTTCTTCCTTTAATTGCATTGAACCTGCATGCCTGTTGCCTGCACTGCATGGTCTTTTCTGTGTGTCTATTTTTCAACCTGCACTCAACCTGTCTATTCACAGCCCATGGCATCCATATATGCATGTGTGCATGTTGTTATTTCAACACATGTGTGCTCACATTGTGATGATGTGATGTTGCATCCAGGTGTGCCTGATAACGTCATGTCTGCATTGATCTGTGTCCATAAATCCTTCAACCATGTGTATCTGGTAATATGAATGATCCATCCATGTCTATAACATGAACGTTAATTCTCCTCCATCTGCAGGGCATCATCAACCCCTCGCTCTTTGCCCGTGAGTTCGTTTCCAAGTATCTCGTCCCCGAGCCAGCCATGTCAGTTGTGTGAAACTCATCAAAAGTGAAAAGCTGATGCTCATATCAGCTGTATGTAAAGCCCTAAAGCTTCCTACCTGTCAGAACTCTCACCATCTCGTTGGAGTTCCCCAACCAGCTGCTCAGCTCAGAAGCACATGCCCAAAGTTTGTGCAGATAGGCCAAGCAGCAGGAAGCCGTTGTGAGTAGCAGGCACAGCCATCGATTGTGGTGGATAGATAGTATATGCTGGAAATAATAGAGCAATAGACTTGGACCTAATGATCATGGCATTTGCAGATGCAGGATTAGAAGGATGCCACCTCAGCATCTTCAGTAGCAATTGAAGATTTCGCATAGCTGAACTTCGTAGTTGTGGCCCTTGTGAGTAAAATAGTCAACCCAGCTTTATTATGTTACGGTAGTTGGAGACTAGTTTTACACATGGGTTGCAATCTATAATCGTGCTTTGTGCAACATTTTGGTGCGGACAGCGACTAGTGCCAAATCCTCTGACATCCTCTGTGCACATTTTTTTCTCTAGACAATTATTTTGCCAAATTCTTGTAATTAGTTCGCTTAGTTTGTTCAACCCTAGTTATGTATCTTCATTGTAGTTAGGGTCCATTCCGATGTGGACACTGTCTCAAAGAAGTTGTCCCAATCGTATTTGTTACTAGTTGTGACACAACGAAATAAATGTTCGTGACTAATTGTAATACGCCGAAAAGGATGAACAGAAATATGCAACCACTCATGTTACGACATCTGGCCAAGACGACACTGTTTATGGTTCGAAGTTTCACAATTGGTGACGAAGGGGTATTGTTTTCGGCGTATCACAACTAGTCACGAACATTCTTTTCAGAGTGTCACAGTTAGTCACAAATACGATTGGGACACTTTGAGACAGTGTCCACAGCGGAATGCGCCCTTAATATGTGCAGTATTAGCGCCCTTGTACAAACATGCTTGCTTGGCAGAATTGGTGGCTGGCCTTCAGAGCCTTGTGCCGACAATCCCCCAACAATAGTGCACAGAACACGTGTTTGGGCCTGCGTCGTAAATGGAGAACGATTGGGGATGTCGCTTGAATGCTAGGGTAGACATACTGTCGATGCTCAGCCTATCACAAGACATTTGCTCCTCACAATTAGAAATTTAGTCACTCGCGAACGTTTTGCCCGCGAGTGACTAAATTGACCATTGTGTCGATTTCGGGGTACAGTCACCAAGTTGAGGAAGAAAAACATGTACAGTACATAAACAACAACGGTTGCCCGTCATAAGAGAAGTTAACCTGGTTACAAAATTAAAGCTCTTGACTCGATTCACGTTGATTCGCGTTGCAATTTCATATTACTGTCATATTTTTGCCCGTGGTGACAAGGGCGAATATGGCGAAATTCCTCAAACACGTTTCACGCACATGCCGCCCTCCTACCTGGTGTTCTTGAAATGGGCACCGACTGTACACGATCGACTTCGCATCGCACGTATGAACATTCTAAACGATGGCGAGGAAGCTGTGTAACATACACATGAGTGGGGACGAAACGTTGGGAAATTATGCTACAAGTAACCAACTTGGGACTCGATAACGTAAATGATGAAAAAAAAAACGCGTACGGTCACTGTATCGGGTTTTCTGACGGGTTTGGTAAGCGGGGTCATGGATTCAGTCACTCTCAACAGGTGAAAAATCACACGAATGGTCATACATGTAGCTCCCGCCAAAATAACTTGAAACTCAACAAGATTCCCGTTCGCGCCCAACCAATCTGCGAACTTCTAAAAAAAAAAACCCCAATCGGCATCGGATGCGGTTTGGGACGGATCTGTCAGATTATTATAGCTGATGCATGTTTGTAGGCTATAGTGGGGTAGCACATATGGGGTACAGTTTGCTAGGGTTGTATTTGTACCCAACTCTGACTTAGTCAATTCATTCCTGTTCATTCCTTTCACATGGTATAGAGCGGGTTCCCTGTGGGAACTTCGCCTAGGGCCCACCGAAGCGCGCCCCGAGGCGCGCGATCCTTTTTTTTAGCGACCCCCCCGAGTCGCCCTTCCCCTGCGGCCTCGCCGCCCTTCGTTCGCGGCCCCGCCGTCCAGTCGCGGCCCCGCCCTTACGTCGCGGCCCCGCCCTTACGTCGTGGCCCCGCCACCCAGTCGCGGCCCCGCCGCCTACTCGGACGCGGCCCCGCCGCCTGCTAAGACGCGGCCCCGCCGCCTGCTAAGACGCGGCCCCGCCGCCTGCTAAGACGCGGCCCCGCCGCCTGCTCAGCCGCGGCCCCGCCGCCCTCTACGACGCGGCCTCCGCCGCCTGCAGACGCCGCGGCCTCCGCCGCCTGCTCAGCCGCGACCCCGCCGCCCGCTACGACGCGGCCTCCGCCGCCTGCTCAGCCGCGGCCCTGCCGCCTCCTACGACGCGGCCCCGCAGCCTGCTCAGCCGCGGGTGCTTCCAGCGGCCCTCCGCTGCATCCTGACGGCCCGCCGCTGCACCCTGCGGCCCCGCCACTGCGCCTGTCCCGGCTCCGCCACTGCACCCTGACGGCCCCGCCGTCCCCTGTCTCGGCCCCACCGCTGCACCCTGACGGCCCCGCCGTCCCTTGTCCCGGCCCCGCCACTACACTGCAGCCGAGCCGCCCAGCAGCAGCCGAGCCGCCCAACAGCAGCCGAGCCGCCCAGCAGCAGCCGAGCCGCCCAGCAGCAGCCGAGCCGCCCAGCAGCAGCCGAGCCGCCCAGCAGCAGCCGAACCGCCCAGCAGCAGCCGAGCCGCCCAGCAGCAGCCGAGCCGCCCGGTACCTGAGCCGCCCGAGCCGCCCGAGCCGCCCGAGCCGCCCGAGTCGCCCGAGCCGCCCGAGCCGCCCGAGCCGCCCGAGCAGCCCGAGCCGCCTGCTGCTGACCTACCCGACTCTCCCATCCCGGTGAGACTTTCAGCTGCTGCCATGGCCACCCCCAATGTTCTCACTTTTGACGCTGAGGGGAGGGCCATTGACTTTGCCGTCTGGATCGAGGACCTGCAGCTGTACTTACTGTGTGATGCGGTAGATGAGGTCTCTCTCTTTGACTTTGTCTCTGGCGCTGTCCCTGCCCCGCCTGCTGATGCTGACTCTGCCGTTCGCTCCAAGTGGGCGACCCGCGATGCTGCTGCACGTCTTGCTGTGCGTCGCCACCTCCCTTCCTCTGAGCGTGCCCACTTTAGTCAGTGCAAGACCGCTCAGGCCTTGTACGACGCTGTAGTTGCGCGCTACTCCTCCCCTTCCTCCGCTACCCTTAGCCGCCTCATGCTACCGTTTCTCTTCCCTGACCTCGCTTCCTTTCCCACTGTCGCTGACCTCGTTACCCACCTCCGCGCTAGTGACACCCGCTACCGCGCTGCCCTTCCTGCTGAGTTCCGCGCTGCGAACCCTCCTCCCATGTACATCACTCTCTACTTTCTCGTCACTCGTCTCCCTGAGTCCCTTCGTGTCGTTAGGGACCAGTTTCTCTCTGTCTGTCCCACCACTCTCACTGTCGACCTCCTTGAGGAGTCCCTGCTAGCGGCTGAGAAGAGTATTGTCGCTGTAGGGGCCTCTCGGGGTGACCCTCGCACCCCCATCTTTGAGGGGTGTGGTCCCTCCCCCCTGCTGCCCTCTGTCGCCTCTGCCGCTGCGGCCGACCTCGTTGGTTTTGAGTCGGTCGGCGCGGCGTCTGCCCCCAGTGGCAGACGCCGCACTGGCAAGGGCAAGGGGGGCAAGGGAGCGGGTGGAGCCAGAGGGGGCGGTGGAGGAGGCGGTGGGGGTGGAGGGGGGAGTGGGGGTGGCGGGGGGGGTGGTGGCGGGAGTGGAGGTAGTAGTGGCGGCGGTGGAGGCGGAGGTGGCGGCGGAGGTGGTAGCGGAGGAGGCGGTGGGAGCGGTGGGAGCGACGGTCCTGGTGGGGGAGGTGGCGGTGGCAACGGGGGTGGCGGTGGAGGCGGGGGTGGCGGTGGAGGAGGGGGTCGGAGTGGCTCGTCCCAGCGGAGCAGCTCTGGGGGTGGTCAGCGCCAGCAGCAGCAGCAGCAGCAGCCGCAGCAGCAGCCGCAGCAGCAGCGGCGCTCTCGCACCGTCCCCGGCCCTCAGCAGCTCCGTGAGTGGTACTTGCAGCGTCAGCGCGGTGGTGCGCTTGGTCCCTGCCCCTACGTTCTTCGCACTGGTGACCGTGCAGGGGAGAGGTGTGGAGGCGCCCACACAGCCCGTCGCTGCTTTGGCCGCCTGACCGACGCCTGGCGTCAGCAGTTTCCGGAGGCCGCTGAGATCCCCCGCTGGGGAGAGCTGTCTAGGGCTGGTGTAGCTATTTATGATCTCGATTTTGATGCTATTCTCTCTGCTATGTATGCTGTGACTGGTAGTGATGAGGATGACTGTTACCGGTGTTTCCCGCCCGACCCGGGCATTGGTACTGCCGCGTCAGGTACTAGTGAGGCTGCTGCTCTAGGTGCCAGTGCGTCTGTGCTTTCAGGTACTGGTGAGTCCGCCCTCTCAGGTACTGTGTCGGCTTCGGCCTCTCACACCTTCACCCTTGACTCTGGAGCGTCTCGCTCCTTCTTTAGGGACCGCACCACTCTCACGCCGCTGAGTCGGCCTGTTGCGGTGTCCCTGGCGGACCCCTCTGGGGGGCCTGTCCTGTCTTGCTTCTCCACTGTCCTCCCGTGTCCGGCGGCCCCCTCTGGCACCCTGACTGGTCTCTACCTCCCCTCGTTCTCGACGAACTTGGTGAGTGGTGCTGACCTCCAGGATGCAGGTGTCCACCAGTTCACCCCTGCTCGTCAGCGGGTGACCCACTGTACGGAGGCGGATACAGGTCGCCACCTGGCTACGTTTACACGTCGGCCGGGGTCGAGCCTGTACACACTGACCACTGCTTCTCCTCCAGGTACTGCGTCTGGTAGGACCCCTTCGTCTGGTCAGGTGTTTGCTGCAGCGTCCAGGTCTGGTCCTGAGTCTGCCCCTTGTTCGTGTCGTCGTCTGTCTCACGAGACCCTCCTCTGGCACCACCGCCTTGGCCACCCCTCTCTGCTTCGACTCAGAGGCATGGCCTCGCGGGTCCTTGTGTCTGGTCTTCCCCGGTCCCTCCCTCCCCTTCCTCCGGGCCCTGGCCCTGCCTGTGTCCCCTGTGTCGAGGGGCGCCAGCGTGCTGCCCCTCACTCCTCCCAGTTTCCTCCCACAGAGGCCCCGTTGCAGACGCTTCACATGGACGTGTGGGGCCCAGCCCGCGTCCGTGGACAGGGTCAGGAGCGCTACTTCCTGCTGGTGGTTGACGACTACTCGCGTTACACCACAGTCTTCCCCTTGCGCAGCAAGGGTGAGGTCACTCAGGTGTTGATCGACTGGATCCGCGCAGCTCGTCTTCAGCTTTGGAGAAGCTTTGACTCTGACTTCCCTGTCTTGCGTCTGCACTCGGACAGAGGCGGAGAGTTCTCCTCTGCCCTCCTGAGTGCCTACTGTCGTGTGCGAGGCATCCGTCAGACCTTCACGCTTTCGGACTCACCACAGCAGAATGGGATCGCTGAGCGCCGCATTGGCATGGTCATGGACGTCGCTCGTACGTCCATGATGCATGCGGCTGCTCCCCATTTTCTGTGGCCGTTTGCGGTCAGGTACGCTGCGCACCAGATCAACCTCCACCCCAGGGTCTCTCGACCGGAGACCTCCCCAGCTCTGTTGTGGACGGGGAAGGTTGGCGATGCGTCGGCGTTCCGGGTCTGGGGATCTCGGGCGTTTGTTCGCGACCTGTCTGCGGACAAGCTGTCCCCTCGTGCTTCTCCCTGCGTCTTCCTCGGGTTCCCCCCCGACGCCCCTGGGTGGCAGTTTTACCACCCCACCTCTCGACGTGTTCTGTCCTCCCAGGACGTCACGTTCGACGAGTCGGTACCCTACTACCGCCTCTTCCCCTACCGCACTCCGTCCCTCCCCCCACCCCCGCTCTTCTTGGTACCAGGTCCCCCCCCAGTAGTCCCCCTCCCCCCTCAGGGTCCTGCCCCTTCAGGTGTGTCTCAGGTAGACGCGGTCGAGCCTGTCGAGGTCACTGGTGACTCCGGTGCTGCTGCGGGAGCTGAGCCTGGGGGTGCGGAGTCTAGGGGTGCTGAGCCTGGGGGTGCTGAGCCTGGGGGTGCGGAGTCTGGGGGTGCTGGGCCTGGGGGTGCTGAGCCTGGGGGTGCTGTGCCTGGGGGTGCTGAGCCTGGGGGTGCTGTGCCTGGGGGTGCTGTGTCTGGGGGTACTGAGCCTGGGGGTGCTGAGCCTGGGGGTGCTGAGCCTGGAGGTGCCGAGCCTGGAGGTGCTGTGCCTGGGGGTGCTTCGTCTCGCCGGGAGCCGCTCTCTCCACAGGAGCTGCGTGAGTGGTTTGCCCGGCGCTGGAGGCGTGCCGCTGGTGCTGGTGGTTCTTCGGCTGCGGAGGGCGCTGCTGCCACGCGACCTGGCGGTGCTCGTCCTGTGGGTGCTGGAGCTGCTGGGTCTGAGGGTTCTCCTGGAGCTGGTCCTGCTGAGGACGTTGGCGCTGAGCCTGCGGTTGGTGGTCCGACTGACGGTGCTCCTGGTGCTGCTGCTGGAGGTTCTGGAGCTTCTGGTGGTTCTGCTGGAGGTGCTGCTGGAGTGGGTGCTCCGGCCGGAGCTGCTGGTTCTGTTCCTGCTGTTTCTGGCGTCGCCGCGCGGTCTCGACCGTACTTCGTTCCGCTCCTGGAGCAGGTTCTTGGTCTTGCTCCTCCTCCTCCTCCCTTAGAGGGTCCGCAGCCTGTCCGGTCACAGCCACAGCTAGAGCCTGCCTCCCCTTTGCCTGCTCCTTCTCCCTACGCTGGTCCGACTGGAGGCCTTACTGAGCGTCGTGAGCCTGCGTCTCGTCCTGCGTCGCCTGTTCGTACTGAGCGCGCTAGTGGTCGCGGGTCGCGTCAGCGTCCTCCTCCTGTCCCTGGCACGCACCGGATGTCACTGCGTCCGTCCACTGCTCCTCTGCGTGCCCCTTTGCCTTCTCCTCCTGCTTCCTCTCTTCCTGCTCTTGCCGACCCGGAGTTGGACTCTCTTCGTGCTGCCAGTCCTACTGTCACGCGTCTCCTTGCTACTGCTGTCACTGACCCTTCCTTCGAGTCGTCTGCTGCGTCTGCCCTTGTCACTGAGCTTGTCGACTTTGCTGCGCGCTGTCGTCTAGACTACGCTGCTCGTCTTGTCGCTGAGTCTGAGTCCGCCTGTCCTCCGTCCGTCGGGGGTGAGTGTGCCCTTGGCACGGACGTCCTAGAGGACAGGCAGGAGGAGTTCCAGTGTCTAGCCGCTGCTTCACCTCGTCTCGCGTCTGTACTGCTAGCCCCTGAGGGAGACCCGGATGCACTAGACATCCCGACTCCGCGTTCTTACGCGGAGGCCGTAGAGGGTCCCTACTCCTCTCAGTGGCAGGCAGCTATGGATGCAGAGATGGCTTCCTGGAAGTCCACAGGCACCTACGTTGACGCGGTTCCCCCTCCTGGGGCGAACATCGTCAGTGGCATGTGGATCTTCAGGGTGAAGCGGCCGCCGGGCTCGCCGCCTGTCTTCAAGGCGCGTTACGTGGCTCGTGGCTTCAGTCAGCGGCAGGGAGTTGACTACTTTCAGACCTTCTCTCCCACCCCGAAGATGACCACTCTTCGGGTGCTGCTGCACATTGCCGCTCAGCGCGACTACGAGCTTCACTCTCTCGACTTCAGCACTGCGTTCCTGCAGGGTAGCCTGCACGAGGAGATCTGGCTGCGCCGTCCGCCTGGCTTCACTGGGACTTTCCCTCCTGGCACCCAGTGGAGCCTCCGACGGCCAGTCTACGGTCTCCGCCAGGCACCGCGTGAGTGGCACGACACACTGAGGACTACGCTTGCGGCTCTTGGGTTTGCTCCTTCTACTGCTGACCCGTCGCTGTTTCTTCGCACCGACACTTCCCTGCCGCCGTTCTACATCCTCGTGTACGTCGACGACTTGGTCTTTGCCACAGCGGACACTGCTGGACTCGCCTACGTGAAGTCCGAGCTGCTGAAGAGACACACGTGCACAGACCTGGGTGAACTGCGCAGCTACCTTGGCTTGCAGATCACTCGGGACAGAGCACGCCGCACCATTACCCTGACTCAGTCACACATGGTGCAGCAGGTCCTTCAGCGCTTCGGCTTCACGTACTCCTCGCCTCAGGCCACTCCTCTGCCTACTCGCCACTCACTCTCAGCTCTGCCTTCGGATGAGTCCGTAGAGTCGAGTGGTCCGTATGCAGAGCTTGTTGGCTGCCTCATGTACCTGATGACCTGCACACGACCTGACCTTGCATACCCTCTGAGCATCCTTGCACGCTATGTTGCTCCTGGGAGACACCGACCAGAGCACATGGCTGCAGCGAAGAGGGTATTGCGCTACCTGTGCAGTACGTCGGGCATGGGGCTAGTGCTTGGAGGGCGGAGTCCAGTGGTCCTTACTGGGCACGCAGACGCTTCTTGGGCTGACGACCAGGCTACGCAGCGGTCGTCACAGGGTTACACCTTCAGCCTTGGTTCCGGCTCTGTCTCGTGGCGGTCTACTCGCTCGTCTTCGGTTCTCGGCTCCAGTTGTGAGGCTAAGATCTACGCCGGGGCCATGGCTGCACAGGAGCTTCGCTGGCTCACCTACCTGCTGACTGACCTTGGAGAGCTGCCTCGTTCTCCTCCAGTGCTGTACGTAGACAACAAGGCCATGTTGGCCTTGTGTCGAGAGCAGCGCTTGGAGCACAGAACGAAGCACATTGCTCTCCGCTACTTCCTTGCTCGTGAGCTGCAGCAGCGTGGTCAATTGCGACTTGCTTACGTGGCCTCTGAGGCCAACACTGCTGATGTGTTCACCAAGGCACTTGCGCCTTGCGACCATCAGCGCTTTTGTACCCAGCTGGGTCTTGTACCTGTCTTGCCTCACTTGCTCTCTTCTTGACTTTACTTGTACTTTGACATATATATACCTGCTCTTGCTTGTCTAGTTTTATATATGTCTGTACTCCTGCATATGAACTGGCCTCTGGCCTTGCTCTTGTGCTCGGACTGTGTGGTGACTTTGTGATCCACCCTGAGCTTGCTTTGCTTTGCTTGACTGGTCTTGTGACCCCTTGTTCTCCCCCACTTTGCCTATGGGGGTGTGTCAGATTATTATAGCTGATGCATGTTTGTAGGCTATAGTGGGGTAGCACATATGGGGTACAGTTTGCTAGGGTTGTATTTGTACCCAACTCTGACTTAGTCAATTCATTCCTGTTCATTCCTTTCACAGGATCAACCCGAAACACCTGGCGAGTTACGTGTTTAGGGTTGATCATCCGAAAATGCATCCAGATTCTTTTTAGGTTTCGAGTTTCATCTGTGACGATTCGCGTTTTTTTTAAGGGTTTTTATACGGGCCGTCACAAACATTTAGGAGTTATCACGAGCAGTCATGTGTTCCGCGAAAGTTATCACGGACAGTAACAAAATCCGCCAAATCTATCACGAACCATAACACGGGTATCACCCGCCGTCACTTAAAGCCACTAATTTCTATCACGGTTAGTCACACTTGAAACTTTGCTATTACAGATGAACCCTGTCATCATTTCGTTAACCCACCCTGAAACACTGTACAGATTTGGGTACTTTATTTCGGGGTCCTGAATTTTGTCTTGTATACGCGTCCATTTTGGGTGCAAAGATACATGGTTACGTTTGAATCGTCGTAACAAAATTTAGTTTAACAAATTTTATGAAAGAATTTGAACGCATATACATATTGCTAGAGTTCACAATTAATTGAATCTGCCTAAATATTTATCAAAATGTTAAACAATCCATAATTAGGAACGCACAATTTATATCGATACATCACGTCGTTGGTATAATTTGAGTATCAATTATGCAAAGATGCATGGTTACGTTCAAACGAATGTAACACATAGCTGGAAAAAAAAAAGTGAATGTGAAGATAGGTAGTTAAACGAAGAAGCCATAGCTAGGACTAACCTAGCTAGGCAAGAAAGAAGTTAGGCAAAAGAGGGCTTTGTACTAGCAAGCAATGAGATACAAATATGAAACCCTAAGGGGTTATACTCGCTATAGAGTACCCCACTGCAGGCTAGATAACAAATATAACATTCTGACAGTGAATAGATCTTAACGTACATAAATTTTGCTAGACTTCAGAATTCATTGAATCTTCCTGGATGTTTTATCGCATGTCATTACGTGATCTCACGATTGTACAAAATATGGTATATCATTTAGAATCTAGATGAAAATTAAACCCCTCTTCGCATGGCATCAACCCCAAAACATTATGCGACAGGGTGTTTAAGGTTGATGCCATCGCAATATAATGCCTTTCAGTAGGAGGATTATTTTTAATTGCCCTCCGGTAGCAAGCTCCGCTGGTGGTGTCGTTTGTTCAATTAGATAATCATATCTTATTGACGACTTCGCGTAGTTAGGGCTAATAACTCCAAACACTGTCCTGGTTATCCAAGCGTTCTAAACCATTTCCTTTTTTGTTGGGTATGTGCGGACTTGCTGGTGGCGACTTTGTTTCTGAATTGTGCTTAAAACTGGATGAAACTGTATGTTTAGTTACTATGCTGCAAAATTGTTGGTTGAGTAATTTCGCAAACTGCTTCTGGCGTAATTTGAGTATCAATGATTTTGGCCGCTTTGCGCCCGAACACCTCAGCGGAATTCGGTCGACGGACCCGAATTGCTAGTGTCGTCGAGGGGGGTCGTCAAAGCCTGGGCTGACGGGGCGGAGCACTTACGCGCGTGCGGGCCCGCCAGCCTGGCCCAGGGCTGGGCCGAGCGCACGACCGCCGCCCCGCAGCCCCGCCCCGAATGTGAACAGCGGCCCACGTTACCGGGTGGGGTCGGCGAACTGGCGACACCTCGCGCGTGGGAATATTACCCTCGCGCGAAGGCAGCCCACACGCGCCACCTGCCCGCGAGGTCCTAGTAACCCATCGCGGCCTGCCCGGACGGGCAGGCGAGGGCCAGGCGAAAAGTCGGGGCCCCCTCGGGACACTCGACAACTTCGCGACCCGTTGCGGTGACGCCACGTGTTCGCCCGCCTACTTCGCATTGGGCAACATGCAGAATTTGATACATTACGAATTCAATTCGGGACATCGCGAATTCGATGTCGATCGCTTCGCGGCGCACGTTTTTCGCTTCGGGGCGTGACATCGACTTGCTGGCTCGGCGACGAATGAGGACTTGTGCCACTTGTGCACGACCCCGCCAAACCCCGCCGAGGCAGGCACCACGAGGGCCGGGCGATGCCCCGACCGTTCCTGTGGGGCACCGACCCCTTTTCCTTGGTGGAAGGGGGCATCGCTCCTCATTTTCGGCATCTCGTTTCCCTTTCCACATTTTCCCCAGCTCTGCGCCTTCTCCCACATTTCACGTCCCTTAGCCGCTTCCCTTCCCCGCCATGTCGGCCGCCCCGAAACTCGGCGAAGTGACGCCGACTTCGCAGGACTTCCCTCTGTATCTCGACCTGGGTAGTGGACTCACTGCCAAGCTCGACGAACACGACTACGCCGTCCTCGTAGACCATAGGCTAGAGTTCAACGCCCGTTGCTTGGGATTCGGCCTCAAGTGAGTGTCCGTATTGGGATGTCGACGTCGACCGCTGGATACCTTGCAGGTCGACGTTGTTAGGGTTGTCCCACGTTAGGGTTTAGATCACTACTCGGTGACGCACACAGCCGTAGGTAGGCATCGTACTCCGATCACTACAGTAGGTCGGTGCCCGCATCGGTAGGCGCCATTGATTACAACGTAGCGACGGTGGTGCACCGTTCTACTATCGCCATCCCCGTCAGTTGTCGGTTCCAGAACCCACGTGTCCATCCGTCGTGCCGTGCACGTCCTCAAACACATCTACTACCCATGCATGCATGCAGGTACGCATGGATTCGCGCGGCGCCGGCCAACATGCGATTGTGGTCGATAGGACTCGGCCGGCTTCGGGCGGCGATGGGCAAGGAAGACCACTCATGCTTTGCAACGGTGTTCGACGCCGACATAGCTGTTATCCCTCTGCATTCGAGGTGAGCCTAAGTCATGATGGTGTGCCATGATGCCTATGTCGCTGCTCCGTTCTGATCGACGTCGTGGTGCCTAGCCTGTGCAGCATCGCACCGCTTCCAGGGGCACATTGCAGCGTCGTGGTCATCCTGTACCCCGGCGACTTGTTGCGGGCCGGGGGAGAGACGATCAGGACCTCTGTCCGGCACTTCGACCCGCAAACCGTGAAGCAGTGGCACCGCGACGAGGCGATCCGCGTGCTGAAGTGAGCTCGATAGTGTAGTCGACGACGCATGCAATTTCGCCGCTGGGCGTTAAGCAAGTCTACTGACGATATGTGCCATGTTGCTTCAGGTTTTTCCGGGCGGCGGTGCTGGCCGAGCTCGGCCGCGATGGCCGGCACTGGGAGTGGCCGAAGCCTTCTGCTGAAGAGGTGGCGGCCAGGCTCGCCGACTTCAATGAACCCGTTCGAGATGTGAGTACCGATCGTTTTACCGTCCTAGCGCGATGCCATCGCCGCCGTCTGTGCTCATCCTTGCTCTCTGCTCTGTTGTTTGCAGAAAATGCGCGACACCGTCCGGGACAGCGACGCAGGCTCTGGCCTCCTATCAATGAGCGCGCTGTGCTGGGTGGTGAAGAGGATGGATCGCCTGACCGGCGACGACCGTCGCAGTGCGACCAGCATGGACAAGGTCCTCGTTTCGGGGTTGAAGGAGCTGCGGATTCGGATGATGACATACATCAAGGAACACGTCGCACGCAGACGGTCAGGCCATGTCGGAGTTGGTGCCGATGCCTGTGACGACGACGCCGCGGAGCCCCCTTCGGCATCCCAAGCAGTCGGTGTCGCCGACACCAGCGGAGAGGCCGGAGACGGCGTCGACAAGGCAGATGAGGAGGCAGAAAGGGCTGTGGCGAGGACCGCGAATCAGGAAAAGGAGGAGGAGGAGGATGACACCGACGATCAAGATGATAACGAGGAGGATCGTGAGGAGCGTGAGCAGGGGCATGGGCAGGAGGAGGAGGAGGAGGAGGAGGAGGAGGAGGAGGAGGAGGAGGAGGAGGAGGAGGAGGAGGAGGAGGAGGAGGAAGAGGAGGAGGATGAGGAGGAGGAGGAGGAGGACAAGGAGGCGGCGGCGGCGGAGGCCGTGGAGCAGGGTTTCGGGTCGGTGGAGCAGGTGGCGGAGGGGGAGAAGCAGCAAGAGGGGGAGGAGGAGGTAGAGTTCCCCTGGGTCGAATTCGAGATGGAGGATGTTGAGGGAGCGGCGGCGGTGGCCATGGAGGGAGCGGCGGCGGCCGTGGAGGGAACGGGCGGGATGTCGGCGGATGTTGTGTACGTGCGAGGGGAGGGTGCCGATGTGGAGAATGTCGGCGTGGAGGAGGCGCACGTGGTCGGCAATGTGGTTGGCGACGCGAAGGAGGAGGATAACGCCGCGGCCCCGACGCCGACGGGCGTGGAGACCACCACAGGGAACGCAGGGGTGGAACGCCGGGGTGGAGCGGTAGAGGCGGGCCGTCAACCGGGTTCCTCAGCAGCTGGTCGGCAGGCAACGCCGGCCGTCGTCGCGCAGCTGCGACAGGAGAACATGTGGCTGAGGGCAGAAAATGCTCGTCTCGAGACGGCGCTCGGAGTGGAGAGGGGTCGGGTGGACAGGTTCGCGATGGGGATTGGCCACCTCGTGGACAAGCTCAGGTCGTTGGCCGACCAGGTCACCGCCTCCGACCAGGACGCGTCGAGTCGGCTGATGGACGCGTCCTTGACCATGGCGACGACTGGACGGAGAACATCACTGCCAACATGGGTGAAGCATGGGATGCGATGAAGGCGTACGTCGAGAGGGCGGAGAGCTGGTTGGACGATCTAGAGAATCCGGAGGGGTTTATGGCGGTGCAACGTGCGAACGCGGTCGTCGCCATGGGCAACCACATGGACGAAGCGAGGAAGGGATTGGAGGAATACATATCGAAGCACCTAGTCGCCGCGCAGACCAACATCGCCACCGCGGTAACTCAACGCGTCGCCGTCCCGCCGCCCACGCAGCCCGCCCCACCGCCAGCCTTCCCAGACGAGCTCATGAAGTCTTTCAAGGCGGACGTGTTGAAGGCGGTGACTGAGGCCACCCAGCAGTCGTTTGTTGCGTCCGGGTTAAACCTCATGACCCAGGTGATCGGCCATCTGGCGCCTGGTCGGCATGGGTCGTCGCCGTCGGACAACGAGGCCGACAAGAAGGGTGCGAAAAGGGCGGGCGGCGGAGATGATGCGTTGAGCTCGAAGCGGAGCAAGGGAGCTGATGGGAGCCACGGCGTCGGCCAGGTGGGTCCAGGCGGCTCGCGGAGCAAGGGAGCCGATGGGAGTGGAGGTACGAGCGTGGTCGACCAGCTCAAGAAGAACGGGGCCAAGGTGATAAGGACGCACAGCAAGGGCGATGGAATCAGGAGTGCGGAGGGGGGCCCTGCCGACCAGGTTGCCGCTCAAGAGGCTGGACCAACAGCCCCGCCATTGGTCGCCGAGAAGCCGGCCAGTCTAGCGACCGCACCAACGGCGATAGATGGCGGCGCCAAAACCATCAAGGGACCGTCCGTCGGAGTGGCGGGGACCACGTCGATCCCCCGCAAACCCCCTGCGGCTAGCAGCGCGCCGGTCGCCCCGTCAGCCGCCAACAACGATGGGCCGTCCCTTGCGGCTACTCCAGCACCAGCAGGCACGTCTGCCGCCAAGGTTGACGCGGTGGATGCTGCGGCTAACCGCGCTGGTCCGTCCGCCCCAAAGGCGAACGCGCTCAGGGAGATGCTCAGCCGCATGGAGACCCATCGACAGGACGTGCAGCAGCCTCCCGTGGTCGGTACCGCGCCGGCCACAACAGCACGTCGCTCGGTCACTCCCCAGGTCGCCGCCACAACGTCCAGTGCCCCACCTACCGCGCCTATCATCGCCGCCCGTCCTCCTGTGGACCCAAAGTCCGCGTTGCTTCGCGCCCGGTTAGGCGCACGTACTGCGGCTGCGCCAGCACGGGCTCAGCCGGTATCCAGCTCATGCGCGACGCCGACGTCGGTGACCGTAGCTGCACACACACTCGGTGCGGCTACTGTCGAGGCGGTGGCGGAGAAGGGCGTGAGTGCAGCGCTAGCCACGGGCGGCAGATCAGTTGACCCTGCACAGGCGGCGAAGGACCACAACGACGCCGATATCGCTGCCATCCAGGACCTGTTGGAAGCGGTAAACCGCCCCAAGCAGCCCCCTGTGCTGGCCATCTTGGACTCGGCGAGTCCCACCGGTTGTACAGCGGAGCCAAAGACGACCACTGCTGCGGTCGGCGCGGGAAAGTCGAAACGGAAGGGGACGGTCGACGCAGGGAAAGCGAGGCCGAGCTCGAAGAAGAAAACACGGGCGACGTCGGCGATGGTGAAGTCGGTGGAGAAAGGACAGGGGATGGCGACGGCGATGGTGGAGAAGGAGAAGGAGGAGGAGATGGAGGAGAAGAAGAATGAGAAGGAGGAGAAGGAGAAGGAGAAGGAGGAGGAGGAGGAGGAGAAGGAGAAGGAGGAGGAGGAGAAGGAGAAGGAGGAGGAGGAGGAGAAGGTGGAGGAGGCGGAGGTGGGGGAGGAGGAGAAGGAGAAGGAGAAGGAGGAGGAGAAGGAGGAGAAGGAGGAGGAGGAGAAGAAGCTGGAGGAGGAGGAGGCGGCGACGGAGGAGGAGAAGGTGAAGGTGAAAGAACGGAAGGGTCATGGCATCCGCCACGACACCACGGGCGACAAGCAAGGGTGGGTGGGCGAGATTAAGGTGGTCGGGAACGAGAGCAGATACATCGGCAAGTCCCGCGACAAGATGGAGCTGACGTACCTTCACTCGATTGTGTACCTCCTGTACGACGGTTACGTCAGCAAGATCCTCATGGCCGAGCTCACCGGCTTGGAGGAAACAGTGATGAAGCAGTGGAGGGCGGTGTGGAAGGAAGTCCGGTTCTTGCCGACTGGGATGTGGACGGTGATATGGGCACGGGGCGCGTTCCTCCCAAAGACACGGTAAGTCGGATAAACGTCGGCCAAGCTATGATGTCGACGTCGGCGTTCCTAACGGCCAGTTTCGTGTGATTGCGTGACAGGTTCGATGATATCCTCGGGAAGTATCGAGCGTACAAGACATCAGGCAATGCGCACCACGATGCGCTTTTGCCCGCGATCTGGTTCCCCGTCGATGCCGACACGAAGTCGGATGCAATGATGTCGGCCATGATTGATCGCGTGTCCATGTGCGCGGCGTATGGGATGGTCGCTGCATCCGCGGCGAGAATGGAGGGCGACACGGATCAGAAGACGGCGAAGGTCGCACAGGCGCTGTCGGCCTCCGCTTGCGCCCTGTGGTGCTTAGTCGATGGCGACGGCGCCCAGGTGGCTGATGCCGTCCGCGAAGGGAAGGCGGCGGCGATGTTGGTCGGCGCCAGCGAGACTACCGCCGCCGAGTTCAAGAAGGTCATGACGGCGGTGCTGGAGGCCGCGATCAGCAGGTAGCAACCCCTTGGGGAGGTTGCGCACAACGTCGCACCGGCGTTGGAGTCCACCGCTCTGGCCAAAGCCTATCCGGGGTTGGGTGATGAAGCCGAGGCCAAACTGATCGCACGAGCGACGGTGGAAACCCTCGCGTTCTGGGGAATGTGCCCCGTGGATGGGCCGAAACTCAGGAAGATCGGCATCGCGGTGCCGCTTGACGCGCAGATGGAGTACGACATCGAACACAGGGGGAGGAAGAGGCCGAGGGGCAAGCAGGGCAAGGACAGCTCGGGGAAGAAGGGGAAGAAGGGCAGAGCGGGCAAGGACAGCACGGCGGCGTAGTTGGCATAACAATCTGCCATGGGCGGCAGGAGGGAGCGCAAGTAGGTCTTCTTGCTATGATGGCCTGGTATGGGCGGCGTCGATTATGTGGTTGTCTTGGGATTTTTTTTCGTTTGATTGTATATTTTTCGTTGGGATTTCTTTTGTTGGCTGTAACTTTTTGGTACTGCATGTTACTAGAACACTCCTCGACAAGGTCGACCTGATCTCTACCATGTTACTCAAATGCGGGCCCGGTTCGATGAACCCCGTCGGCGTATAGCAACTCGGCGTCGTACGGTGTCGACATAGTGCGTCTGGCTGTATGCATGTATATACTCGGCGATGAGCCTCGTCGGCTAGGCCGAGATGGTCAATGGTCGGCGCTTTGGGGAATGTGCCGCGCCGCCCAGGTGGCCGAAACTCTAGGAGGTCGGCATCGATGTGCCGTTTGACGCGCATATCGAGCAGGCATGGACAGCACGGATGCGTAGTCGGCGCGCGGAGGGAGCGCTAGGTGGTATGATTGCTCGGTTATAGCGTGATCGGCGCCGTTTGCGCCGTTTGCATGCAGTCAGCGATGTCGACATGAATAAGGCACAATGAATTGCACACACATGGTGGCGACTATGTCGGAGTCCGACATATCTGGTTCGAATGTATGTGTTGGATCATGTATGTTCGTGTTGCATCAAAATCAACAAGTACGATGGGAACACTACGGTTTGCTAAATTAGGGCATCATCAACCTACGCTAACACATATACACCGAGGATCTTCATGCCGACTTCTTGCGCTTTGACGGAGGACGCTGCGCAGGTGCGGTCTGCTTGGCCAAGTCGGCCACGGTCTTCGGCATCTGCTCCTCCCAGGTGTCTGGAAACAGGCGGTCGACCCACGTCGTCGGCTTCAGCTCGAGCGCCACCAGCGCACAGGCGAGGCGTAGCTTCGAGACCACCTTGGGGCCAAGCCCCTTGACGCCCATGCCAGGCTCCTTGGACATCGTCGGTGCCGTCTCCGGGTTGAGCACCGTGAGGGCATTGCAGAAGGTCCCAATGCCCGGTGCCGCGATCGTGTTCAGTGCATCGACCACGGCTTCGGTGTCGGCATCGCCGTCGCTCGCGCGTAGCTGGCGCACCGCATCCATGGCCTTCAGCATGCGGTGCACCCTCATGTTGAGTGCACCCTGGGTCGCGCCTTTGAGGAGGGTGTGGCGGTCGATGAACCCCGGCTCGGCGACCCTGTCGCAAAGACGACGGGTGTCATTGGCGGTGGCGGAGTTCCAGAGGCGCCAAGCGTCCCGCACGGTCTTTGAATCCCGCCAAGGTTGCACCACGTTGAGCTCGTAACTGGCCTCCTCTGCCGTCTGGGGGGGGTGGCGGGGGTTTCCCATCATCTCTCTTGGCTCCAGTCCCCGTGTTGGCCGAATCCGCGGAGCCACCCTCGCCCGGAGTCTGATCGGTAGCCGACGGCGGCGCCGCCGGCATCCTCCGGGCTTCTGACACACGGAGTGCCTCGGTGAGTCGAGCAAGCTCGGAGGTGAGCGACGCGATGGTGTCGTTTTGCTTCTCGATCGTCTCCTGAAAGCCTAGCTTCTCGAGCGCCGAGCGCTCGACCTCCTTCTTCAGCGCCTCCTTGAGGGACATGTTGTGATACTGGGTGTCCATGCGCACGGAGATTTCCTGCAATGTTGAGTGTGCGGAAAGGCGACAAGAGGTTAGAATTCACCGGCTAAAATTCAACGACGCCGACATGGTCGGCGACTCACCTCCGGTTGTATCTGAGTCGGGTCCCGGCGCTTTTTGATCGTATCGGTGTCGACCGACTCGACCCTTTTCGCCCAGTGCTGGAAGAGGGCAATCCTGCAGAGCTTGGAACCTTGGACATACGGGTGCCACGGTGTGCGGACGAGCTTCACCGCGAGGTCCTCGGCGACGATTCGTCGGAACATCACGAGGGTGCGCAAGAAGTGCACTGCGGCTGCAGCGGCGTCGCTCCCGTTGACGGCACACGTCTCCGCCTGCAAGTCGGAAAGTGGCGTGGGTTAGTAGGGAGTTGGGCAACCAACTAGGCCACGACGACTGAAAAACATTGTCGGTGTCGCGTGACATACATCGCGCAGCATAGCATCCACGCCGGGGAAGACGTGCTCGGCGAGCAGGTCCAGGAGTTTGTCGGAGGGCTCGACCCTGCTGCGCCCCAAGAAGTAGTCTTGCTTGAGTCCTGAGTAGCCGGCCTTCTGCATCACCACCCCAACGGGAATGGCCGTGATGTACGCACGCGTCATCTTGTCGAGAGCCCAGTGTCCCAGCTCGGCGATCTGGGCGCGCGGCGTCCCTCCGATGGCTAGCTCCTGCGCACCTCCGGCGCGGGCGGCGTGCACGTTCCTTTTGCATAACACCTTGTTGGTCCTCCACATCTGCCGAGTCCAACGTTGGTGGGTGGCGGAGGAGAGCTCCTCCTGCTCCTTGTCGTTTCTGGCGAAGAAGAGATGCTTCTTGTACCAGCGTTCGCGTTCTGTGGTGTCAAGCGGCGAAAGAAAGTCGGTGCCGGAGAACTGACCGATCTGGTCGAGGATGAAGTGCAGCCACAGGCCGGTCTCGCCGACGGCGCACAGCTCCGCTTCCAGGTGTCGCGCAGCGTAGCTCTGCTGAAGACGGGCATCCTTGGAAGTCTTCGAGTTACGCGCGGCGATCACCATGACGACCGGCTGGCTATCCGGGTTCACCTCCGAGGTGCTCGCCAGGTGGTACAAGAAGACGTCGGGGAGCGTGATCTCGCGGATGCTGGCGCCGCGCAGGAGAGTGTGGTGGGAGAGTAGCGTGAGCACCTTGATGAGCAGGAATCGCCACAGCGTCTGCGACGGAGTGGTAGCCCGCGGGCTCCACCCCGCCGCCGCCCATGTCGGCAGCACCCTCATCATGATCTGGCGGAACTGCTCGGCGGTGTAGGTATCGCCGATGGTGCCGCGTCGACGGTCGGCGCAGTTCCTGAACGCAAATCGGCGGGGAAAATCTGTTAGACTGCGTCGACTTCACAGTGCACAGTGATATATAATAAGGTTGTCGACCAACTTACTTGAGGTCCCTCTCGTTCTTGTGGCGGACGTTGAACCGCACCTCCGATCTCACCACCGAGATCTCCCTCATGATGCCCAGCTCCTTCTCTCGGTACAGCGTCGCCTCCACCCTCGCCGCCATCTGGCATGCCTTTATGCGCCCGAGGATTGTGTGCACAGTTGTCGACCTCACAGGCCCCGTTCGCGTGGCATTGTTCTCCTCCCCGGGCTGGTCAACAATGAGGTTACACTCACGGCTCATTTGCTTCACGTAGGCGCGCAGCCGGGTTTCGGTGACCCTAGGGCCGTGCAGCCAGATGTACTGTCGGCGGACCACTTTCTCGTTGCACCAATCCTTTTTCTTGTTGTCGCGGATGTAGTGGCCGATCTCGTCGACGTGCCTAAGTCGTTGCTCATGGGGTAGCTTGTCGCGTATCTACTTCAACATCTTCGCCGCCCACTTCTTGTAGTGGTAGATGAACGAGGTGTACAGCCTGAGCGTGCTATTCTTCTCCAAGCATTGTAGGTGTCGTAGGGCATCCATTATGAGCACGTCAATGCTGGAGTACACCATGTCGTCCACTACAAAGTCCGTCGCCTTCCACCCTTCGCGCGGCACCGCCATGTGCTGATTGTCCTCCTTCTCGTCCTCTTCGAGCATGTCACGTATGTATTCAAATTCCCGCCTAAGGCGTTCTTCCAAGATGCGCGGATTCGTGCTACGCGGAGGACGGTCGTCGACTTCGTCGTCGCTCTCTTCCTCGTCCTCGTCGTCGTCATCACCTTGGTTTTCCGAGCCGGCCGTCACCGACGAAGGTCCAGTCTGCCCATCTCCCGTCGGTGTCGACTTCTTCGTAAACTCCCCAATTGGCGGATTCGGTATGTCCTTGGTGTACTCCCCTTCGGGAATCTGAGTAAGTTTGTCAAGATCGTAAAGCAACTTCAGCGTCTCTACGGGGGCAGAGGACGGACTGTGGTCGGTTGGGGTACCAACGTCGGGCATGTCGACGTCGTCCATGACCGACGTATGCTCTACCGCCGGCCGTGGAAGAGGGAAAGATTGGTAAACCAGAGACGGAAGTGATTCACGTCGACGCCTTAGTGCCGACCTAAGTCTATTCCAGGTCGACGCCTGAGTGCCGCCGCTGGGTCGACTCGGCCGTCGAGTAACCTAGACCCGCAGAGACAGCGAGGGTCCTGTGAAGAAAGCGAAGTGCCAGATGGCGCACAGGAGCATGAGAGAAACACGAAGCTGAAGAGGCAGAATGAGAGCGTTGTGCGTGGTCAAAGAGGGGTATGGTTGCGGGCCACTGCGGACCCGCCGCGCTCCACGCAACACTCTTTGCAAGCGCCGCAGTGCACGTGCATGAGTGTCACGATCGATGCATGTCTACTGTCACGCCGCTTTGCGCTCAACGGCACTCCCGCCGGTGCCTTGCCACGGTGGAATTCACGTGCGCCACGTGCAATAGGCCAATCACCTAGTTCCACTCTCCCGAAATGCCGTAGCGTCCTGCTCTCCCGCGCAAACCTCATCGACCTGCGAGTAGGCGCGTGGCCGGAGGCTTGGTCGACGCCGACATTCCCTGAGTCTGGGGCTCTCTTCGCCTATGCATTGTTTGGTCCGCACAGAACCATCCGCGTGGGTCGTGCTGCTGCGGTTGGATCTTCGGGCGACACCGACATCTCAATACCCCGCGTTCTCTGGCTATCTAGGTGGTGGACACATGCCAGTCGTCTTTCGCCGCGTGGACGATGGTTACATTTTTCGTCGGCGCGCCAAGTTTCGCACGCAGCGAAATATACCCGGTGGTGCGAAGCGGGGCCACGTCGGCGCCGTAGTGGCACCTCCCGATTGTCAGGCTCAATCTCGGCCGTCCCTACTAAGCCACGTGGCCGTAATCGCGGCTCGGCGCACAACGTGTCGAGCTGTGGTTTAGGGTCCGCTGAGGTATCCTTCTCGGGTTTCTCTTAGCGAAACCCGAGGTCGTCAGATAGTCGACAATCCCGAGGGGTTCAGAGCCCCAGAGGACTGCCTCGTCGCCCCAGTTTGCCACTCGCAAGTCGTCAAGAGCTCGTCAATCCCGAGGGGGTTCGTTGTCCTATCGCAACCGCGAAATTGGGCGGCAGTTTTCGTCGGCTGAGGTATACCATCCCAATGTGGTCGCGTACATAGGACAAAAACCAGGACCCGAAAAAAAGTGCCCAAATCTTTACAGTGTTTCAGGATGGGTCAACGAAATGATGACAGTGTTCATCTGTGATAGCAAAGTTTCAAGTGTGACTACCCGTAATAGAAATTAGTGGCTTTAAGTGACGGCGGGTGATACCCGTGTGATGGTTCGTGATAGATTTGGCGGATTTTGTGACTGTTCGTGATAGCTTTCGCGGAACACATGACTGCTCGTGATAACTCCTAAATGTTTGTGACGGCCCGTATAAAAACCCTTTTTTTAACCAGCTGATTGTGACTGATTCCGTGAAACGCGTTATCAGTCGCGTGAAAATGCCCTTTGCAGTGACCGTACCCTTTTTTTTTTTTTTTTTTAAATCAAAACTGTTTTCGAGTCCCATGATGGTTACGCACGGCATATTTTCCCCGAAATGTTCGTTCGAGTTGGTCGACCTGTTTTTTTTCAAGACAATCGTATGGCACGTGGTTTGGGTGTGGTTTTCATTCAACTTCGATGCCCTAATGCTGCGCCGTTTTAGGCATCCACCGTCACAACAGGTGGTTCTGGTCTGGTCCGGCGCTGATCGAGGCGCGTTCGCGGAGGGGCTAGGCTGTCACATACGACACGATGCGCCATGGTGAACGCGACTTGGCCCCTCGCACGTTTCTCGCACATGATGTGTTTTCCATCTGTACGACGCTCAGCCAACCCCCTTGCGACTCACCGACTTCAGTCAAAGTCGCAGACGGGTGGAACCCGACCCGACGAATGACGATTTCCGTTCCAGTTCAGTACAGTAGACATTCGTCGCACAACGTGACTGTTCGCTGACGCCTGTCGGTTCCAGCGGCCAGCCGTCAGCTAGCCCATCAATTCCCTCGCCGCCTCAATAGAACCGAACTTGACGGAGCGGCGCACCTGCTGAACCCTCGAGGATGGACTATGGCAACGAGATGGAAGCGCGACGCGAAAAGACCACATCGATGGAGGGGGTCAATTGGACAGAACGTTACGTTACAGAGCGGTAAAATATGGTACTACAGTACAATGTAAAATTAGATAGGTGTTGAACGGTGGAAACCAGCAAGGGAAAAAATCTGCCATCTTGGGAATGGGTGAGGAGAGCAAGAAATTTTCTGGGCGCGTATATCTCCAGGAAGAATTGGCGGGAGAGGAACCATTGGAGTTCGACGAACAGACATCGAGGAACTCACGTCGATCTTTGAGCATCGAGTATTGCTTAGCTCTGAAGTTCCATTGTCAAGTCTTGGGTTGGGTAGAAACTGCAACCTAGCTTTAGGAAAAGCTTTTGAGTTCCGATTCATACTTCAACTACAGGCAGGCTTGCTCGTGGGAAGACTGCTTCTCTCTTATTTTCCCAGTAAGCGTACGGATAAGCCAGGCATTTAGTTGCAATTGAGCGACCTAACGCGAGACTCCTCATCACAAGCCGACCATAATTCCTTCAAACGACGTCGTCACTCCCATTCCAGTGTCACCTTCCCGTGAAGCGACTCCCCATCTACGTTCCGTCAATTTGACGGAATAAGTACACCAGTAACAGAAGTACACAAAATGGCCACTGGCATGTACATGGACACGCGGCTGCAGCAGCAGTTCTGGGGCTATGGTGGCTACTCGCAGCGCGATCTCTACTCGCAGCGCGATCTCTACGAGCCTCCTCCACCGGTCCCCAACCCCAGTCCCCCCATCGGTCGCCTCGCGCGCCCCCCGCTACTCGTCATCCCGCCGATCGTTCCCGCTCCGCTCACCCCCACCCCAGTTGCGCTGATGCGGGAGATTGAGCGCTACAACCGGAAGAAGAACGCGGAGAGGGCGGAAAAGCTAGCGGCCGATCGCCCCGCGGGCCCCCCCGTGCGTCCGCGCAGGCGGAGGGTTTGGGACGACATGTTCTTTGACCTCCCCCCGACGCCCCCTCCCCGACGCGCGTCTGCTCCCGCCGCGCCTGTCACTCGCGTTATTCCGTCGGAGCCACTTCAGGTCGTCACTGCTAGTACCGCGCCCGCGCCTAGCACTGCTAATACCGCGATTAACACTGCTCCCGCGCCTGTCGTTCGCGCCGCTCCTTTGAAGCCACTCAAGGAACTCAACGGCGCGCTTCCGCCGCCACTGCCGCTGACACTCTCCGCATTGAACGGCGCATCAAACGCACTCGCTCCAGAGAATGGCAAGGCGGTGAGATCGCACAGGCTGTTACCCGTCTCTGCGAACCAACCTTCGTTCAGGGCGTGGCTGGGGAACGAAGAGAATGCGACAATGGCGACAGCCGTGCGACCGAGCGGCGCCTGCTGCGAAACGGCGTCGCAGGTGTCGTCTGCGGAGCTTCGCATCGATATATCGTCGCTTGGCGCTGCTGCTGCTGCTGCCGGCGCTCCTGCCACTGCTGCTGGGTTATTCTGTGCTGACGTGGGAAGCGCCACGGCTCACACGTCACTTCAGGTCGGTTCGGTTGCCATCGCTATAGCCTGATCCGTTACAGAGCACGTCAAAGACTCCGGTACCACCTGCACTGTGAAGCCCTGACCGGACTTCGTCTCCTCAGTCGAATACCGATGCTTAAGCATGCGCATCTGCCGCTAATCTGGCAAACTGATTTCCGGCTCAGATGTTCATAGCGTGACGGCCGCTGCACGCGGGTGAGGTGGTTCTTGAGGCGCCCCTGGTCGAGGCTTCTATCGGTGTTCAGGGCGCCTCAAGCACCACCTCGTTTGCTCCTTCTCTTTCTTGAAACGAGAGACTTGAATAGCATCTTCTCATTATATGCACACTAGCACTGGCTTCAACGTTAGTTAAAGCCTCCTCCCTGTTTCTTTTAGCTTTAAATCATCGACGCTGATGTATATGCGAGATTAATGAAAACTTATTTCTGCGCATTCCTGCCTTCTGTCCGCAACTGCTGCCTGTACAGGGGAGTCTCTTATCAAGTCCTGGAACGTCAGCACTGCCAAATGCTGCTGCTGCCTCTGCTGGAAAGAAGTGTCACAGGGAACCGCTGGCTTGCTCTGTCGACCTGCAAGCCCTTGGCTCGTTCCTCTGCTCCTGCCTCTCCGCTCTGCTGCTTAACACGTTGGGGGAAAGCTCAACGAGCCAAGGCTCAGAGGGTCAAAGCTGGAAGGAAGGAAATGGGACGCCTATGCCTGCAGCTGCACCTGCAATTGCAACAGGAGCAGCTGTGATGTCAACAGGGCTGAATGATATGCTGCTGGCGCAGGCAAGAGTGCAGGAATGCGAGAATGTGAGGTTGACGGAAGGGGAGGGAGGAGGCGAAGTTTCAGGATGGGAAGAGATTCCAGTTTCTTTGCGCCTGCAACCCAAGCGGCCGCTGTCACCGCTTGCGCCACTGCTATCCCCCATATCAGCTGCCTCAGTAGGAGCACTTTCGCAGCTGATGTTCCAACCACCGTTGATTTTACCTGGGATATTGCCATCTGGGAAGGCGATGCATCCTGGCCGTCGGTGGAGCCCCTCGTCTGTTCTGGCCTCACATTCGCCTGCCTCCGACACGTCATCATTAGAGGGAAGGACTCCGTTCACAGAGGAAACGCGTTAAAGAGGGTCGAGTGGGACTTGATGCTGTGACTTGGCGTCACATTCATCTGCCTTGAACACATAATTCGTTGAAGGGTATAGAGGAAACAAGGTGAGGAGGACTCAGAGGATCTGGAGCCGTGATAACCGGTGATGCGGAGAGGTGCAGGGGTTGGGCCAATCCGACCAGTATTTGACCTCACCTGCAATAACATTCGAGGCTATACAGGTATACGAAGTTGATGACTCTAGGTTCTGGAATCGTAGATTGATATGGCAGACCAAAAGCATATCTCGTGCTTGATATTGAGTAGTGTACTGTTTCTCAATGGTATTTGTAAGGTGAGTGTATTTCAAGCTAGTGTAGGTGGAATTTAACTAATACTTTAAACTCAAACTCCCAATTGGAATCAGCCGTATACCGAGGATAATCCCCTCGCACTCACCTCCCGTTGAATTGCCACAATCAAATTTCTTTTGGCTGTCCCTTTCGGCCCCGCCACGTCAGCCATCTTCAGCATGATCGCGCTTTCCCAGCTTGCCGCAATCAGCGGCGGCAGCACCGCAGCCAGCGTAACCATCCCGTGCCGCTTAGCACGGGGGAATTCGCCTGGCAACATCCGCCGGCAACGGATTACTGGAGTCTCGCCACGCATTCCTGTGCATTTCGATGCGCATTTCGCAGCGCGTGTCTCAAAGCCAATTCGGACGATTTCAGTGCAAGCTCGAGCGCGAACGATCCTCCCTACCACCGATGAAGCTTCCGACTTCGATCCATCTTCACCGTCGATTCCGCAGCAAGTTAGCTTGGACGGCTCAGATATCACGGTGCCGGAGCCGCTAGTAGCAGATGGCCTTCTCTCGCGACGTTCGCTCGTGGCGCTCTCATCCGCCGCCCTTACCGCTTCCTTACTCGCACCGCCCTCCACGTCAGCTTCCCCGGATTCCACGTCACTCTCTCTAGGCCCTGTCGTAATTCCCCCATGCCCTCCGGGATCTACGGTGGAGATTCAAATCGGGGATAACTGCGGTCTTGGAGTCGCGATTTACCCCGATTTCAGCTACAGCCCCGGTGGCGTTGCCGGGGGAGGCGGCTCGGGAACCGCGACGGATTTAAACGACGGATCGGATCGCGTTGAGATAGTTTTCGACCCGCAGACTCTAAACATCCCCCCGTTGCGGTATGACACGACGCGGTTCCTCGGGCTTCCGCTGCCCCCGCCGCTTAGGATTGAGATTGCTCCCGCGGCGCTCAGGGGCTACCTCGAGAGGTCGACTGGCAAGGTAGGCCTGGGAGCCCGTAGATTAGTCTAAGCTTTTTGGTTCATCTCTGCGACAGGTGCGGTACATGGCATGTATGCGCCTTTTTTTTTTGTCATGTCCTTGGGAGTTGTCTCAGCTCTTTCAACTGGTTTCTTTTTGGGAGGTGGTTTGAAGCTTTTAAGTAAATCCTTAGGGGTTAGACATACATTTTCTAAGAATTTTCTCAAAAGGCCAAGGCATTTGAAGATGACTCGGTATGTAGTGGCTGTGATGTGGTGGGGGGGAAGATGTATTGAGAGAGATGAGGGCTGAAATGAAGGGACATTGTGCTACTGTTGTGAAGGGTGATGGTTCCCTTAGCAGGGAGAAACAGCAGGGAGAGTAGAGGGGGAGACGGGAGATGGATGTAGTAGAGTGTGTTGGTGGTGTTGGTTAATTTAGGGGTTGGATTTAGCTTAGAGAAGGAAAATGACTTCGCTGATGAAGGCTCATCTCATCTGCATAGAATATGGGGATAATTGACATGTAAAGTATTGACTTTACATAATCTCCCCTCATCCATCTTCCATGTTCACTAACCCTACCTCCATTCCCCTCATGCTTCTCTTTCAGGTGGAACTTACCTTCATCTCTAAATTCTTCTTCACAGCTGGACCCATCTACTCTGCCCCACCGCTTACTGTAGAAACCATCTTAACCACCGAAAGCTCTGCTGGGCCCATACGTTCGGCCAAAGGCTCAAGGCTTGACGCCTCCGGGAAGTGTACTCTAGTTGGAGTAGCACGTGTGCCTCCTGTCAATGACTCTTTCCTGGACACTTTCCTATTACTCCCCACCGACGTTCTCGCGGTTTTGCCAGCAGAGCTTAGGTTCAAGCCGGTGGCTAGTGCATAAGATTGATTGTGAATGTGATTGTGTGTATATTGTACACTTCATTCAAATGAAATGTTTTTAATTGACTCTTTACGGAGTGTTCTCGGTGTTCTATCGCCGACAACTCAGGTAACGGTCCTAACTGAATTGCAACTTCCAAGTGTGAATTGAACAGTAACCGTTTTCCTAGCCTCACTTTTACAGTGTCGACCGAACCAAGCTTCGAGACCAGGTACGACGCGCAGCGGACACTGGCCCCTTGGGCATACCTCTCGGTAAAATCACTCCCGCCACTCTTCCAAACCTCACAAGCAGCTCTGTTTTTGTACCCAACCAACTGGCAGCAAATTTCACCTTGTCTTGCCTTGCTGTACCGTTACTCCTCTCCGTCTTTCTCCATCTCTTTGAATCGCTTGCACTGTCCTCGATGTTACCGCAGCCATGGATTTCTTCGATCAAGAAATATCAATAGCCTGAAAGCAAATAGCAGGCCTTGCTTCTCATGTTGGCTTGGCATTGCATAAGCTAAGATAAGAGGCAGAGCTCACTTCATTTCATTTGCATGAAAAGGAACCAATCGAGCATGTTGGTCCCAGCTCCTCCTTGCGATTAGCGCTCTGCGAAGCACTCCGGGATGGGAGCAATGCGAAGCAGCACGCGCTTTGATGTCTTTCGCACCTGGCTCTCGTAGTCTTGGTTGTTGATAGTTGCTGAAGCCGGTTGTTCAGTTGACAGTTTTTCGTTTGAGGAGCGTTCAAGGAAGTTCTTTCCGTGCTGCTTTCGGCTTTCAGGCTTACGGTCCCAGTGTCTTAGCGGATGTTTTTGCGAACAAACTACAACTATGCATAAGGTACGGAGATGTCATGAAGCCATTTTGTCGTCTAGTATTAAATCAACCAGCTTCGATGCGACCTCACAATTCTCACTGTCGCCAGGCTGGCCACTCGCCTCTCTCTTCTCCGCTTCAGTTTCTAACCGCACCGTGCATCGAAGAAAATGCGCTAGACTTTATCGACCACTAAGAATAATCCACCTAGTGCATCTTCTCTAAAGCGCTAATGAGGGCTATTAGGGCTTTAAATATCCTCGTGAAGTCTCTAACTCCCTGGATGTGGCTGGCTGCTTGTTTCCCGCTCGTCTTTCGCGTCAACTGAGAAGAGAAAGTTGCTCCTCCCCTCCCGCCTGTTAGGATACTCGACACCGACTAACAATGGGGTACTTTTAAACCAGAAGTAAAAAAGTGAGTCGACTGGAAAAACATCTCCCGCTTGATCCTCCATACGCGACAACGACCTTCTGATGATTTCAAGCCTGAGTCATAAAATGAACATATAAAACACCTTTCGTTTGAAACCACCCTTTCGTTCTTCAGGACACGCGACAGCGGCCTGGTCCCGTACGAGGCGGGCCCGGCAACAATTCCTGGGACGAAGATGACGACATGCCACGTGCGCTTCCCTCTCTTCCACATCATCAGCCACGTCAGCTTCTCCGTCCCGAACAGCAGCAGCAGCAGCAGCAGCAGCAGCAGCAGCAGCAGCAGCAGCAGAAACAGCAGCAGGCACGTCAGGCTCCCCCGATACAGCCACGCAGACCCCAGGCTTCGTTAGAAGAACTTCCGCCCTCCCGCGGAAAGCAAAACTCTAGAGACGCGTACGACCCGGATGAACAGTACGAACCGCGTTATTCGAACCAGCGTGATTCGCGGGATACCAGGGAGCAACAACCGTACGATCGGAACAACTGGCAAAGAAACCCGCCGGTGCCAGCTCAGCAGCGGCAGAGCGGCGGCGGCTCGGTTCCGTACAGGCGTCCGGTCCCCCAGCCAGAGTCTGAAACGGAAACTGAAACGGAGGGGGAGGCTGAGACGGAAACGGAATTCGAGACGGAAGTTGAGACGGAAGTAGAGACGGAAGTTGAAACAGAGGTCGAAACAGAGGCGGAAACAGAGGTGGAGGAGACGGAAACGGAATTTGAGGAGGAGGAGGAAGAGGAGGAGGAAACGGAAGTGGAGGAGGAAGGGGAGGGGGAAGGAGAGGGAGAGGAGGAGGCGGAGGAGGAGGATAAGGAGAACATTTTGGAGCAAGTATCGGAGCTGTTGAGTCAGGTGAGCAAGTGGGTGATTGACTTCTCAGAGTTAGAGAAGGGTTGAACAGGGTTTGGATTGGTTGAGGAGGATACGGAGACCTTTTGGAACAAGTATCGGAGCTGTTGTGCCAGGTGAGCAAGTTGGTGAATGATCAAGTCAAGGTCAAAGGTGGGTTGAGGAGGGTTCAGTTCAACAGGAATTTGTGGCAATGATGGCAACAGGGCCCCATGGTAAACTAGATGAATACTTGCCGGTGGTTGACCTTCTGCTGAACGTGAGGAAGGTGCTGGCGGAGGTGGGGGGTGAAAGGGTGGGGGAAAAGGAGTAACCCCACAACCCTCTTCTATTGCTCTTCCCCTCCCTCCCTTCCTCCCTCAGATCGAGGCGATAATTGCAGCAGGGCCACACGGCAAGCTAGATGAGTACCTGCCAGTGGTTGACCTGCTGCTGAACGTCAGAAAGGAGCTGGCGGAGGTGGGGCAGAAGAAGTAACCCCACAACCCTCTTCGAATGCTCTTCCCCTCCCTCCCTTCCTCCCTCTCAGATTGAGGCGATGATTGCAGCAGGGCCCCATGGGAAACTAGACGAGTACCTCCCAGTGGTTGATCTGCTGCTGAACGTGCGGAAGGTGCTGGCGGAGGTGGGGGAGAAGGAGTCGGGGCGCCGGGCGGACATGCTGCTGCGGACTGCCATGGAGGACTTGGACTACGAACTAAGAGACATTCTTAAGCGGCGCAGGTGAGAGTTTGCTGGTTTAGCGACGAGAGTGTGAGAAAAAGGGTAAGTAGTGCTGTGCCAGGGAGGGTGGGCATGCTGCTGCGGACTGCCATGGAGGATCTGGACTAAGAATTAAGAGACATTCTTAAGAGGCGCAGGGGAGGAGGTGTTAAGTCAGGAGTTGAGTGAGAGCTGGCAGGCAGGGTACTCTATTTGGATTACTATTTGCTTGCTGGTCAAGCAAGCCTCTACCCGCTTCAGTGCAGACGAGCTGAGCAGACTGTTCCAGGCGGAGTTCCTTTCCTGCACGTGCATCCTTTTCCTCCCCCCACATGGCCCTTCCCTCCTCTCCTGTGCCTTCTTCCCGTATCCCCCTCCTACCTCAATCCCCCTTGCCTTTTCCCCAGCAAGCAGGCTTCTGCCCGCTTCAGTGTAGACGAGCTCAAGAGGCTGTTCCAGGCGGAGTTCCTGCATGTGCTTCCTTATCCCTCACCCTCCCCCACCCACATGCAGGCTGTTCCAGTTTCTGCATGTGCTTCCTTTTCCCTCACCCTCCCCCACCCACCCCCTGTGCCCGTCTCCCACGTTTCCCCCCCAGCAAGCAAGCCTCTGCGCGTTTTTCAGTGGACGAGCTCAAGAGGCTGTTTCAAGCGGAGTTAGTGCGCATGCTTCCTCTCCGCCCCTCCCCACACCCTCCCCCACTCCCACCCCCCCACCCCCCCTTCCCGTCTTCCGCTTTCCTTTTCCCCCATCAAGCAGGCATCCGCGCGTTTTTCAGTGGACGAGCTCAAGAGGTTATTCCAGGCGGAGTTTGTGCACGTCTTTGCCCCTCCTCACCTCACCCCCCCCCTCTCTCCCCCTTTCTTCCCTGCCCTTCCCCCCAGCAAGCAAGCGTCCGCCCGCTTCAGTGTAGACGAGCTGAAGAGGCTGTTCCAGGCGGAGTTCCTGCACGTGGGGAGTGGGGATTCCGCAGGGGAGGAAGGGGAGGAGAAGGGGGAGGGGCGGGAGGGGCGGGGGGGCAGAGAGGGGAGAGGAGGGGCGGATGGGGAGGATGAGGGACTTTTGAGTCCAGGGGAAAGGGGGGAGGCGAGGGGCGAGGGAAGGGGGGGGAGGAGGGAGGGGAGAAAAGAAGGGGACTTGGAAGGGGACGAGAAGGCTGGTGGGGAAGGTGAGGAGGAGGAGGGGAGGAGGAAGGAGAGGAGGAAGGTTCCTGAGCTGTTTCCTGTGAGCACGGGGCGGTGGTTGAATGAGGCGGCTGGGAGGATGGTGCAAGGAGGGGCGGGAGGAAAGTGCGTGGAAGCTTACAGGTCTGTGCGCGTGGAGGCAGTTAAAGCCCTGATGGATGAACTGAGGCTGGAGGATGTGCTGAGTCCCGGGGTGATTCATGAAGCGTCGTGGAGAGTGCTTGAGCAGGCTTCCAAGGAGTGGGTGCAGGCGGCTTATATCATTGTGAGTCTCCCTGCGTAATCCCACAAGAAAGGGGTGATTCGCAAGGCACGAGGCACTGTGGAGGGTGCTGAAGAAGGCTTCAAGGGAATAAGTGCAGGCCGTTTCTATCATTGTAAGTCTGATATACTGTGAGGGAGGTGGGTAGGTTCACGAGGCTCGTTGGCGAGTGCTGGAGCAGGCATCAGAGAAATGGGTTGATTGAACTTTGAGAATTCTCAGAAGTTCAATCAACAGTGCTGGAGCAGGCATTAGAGATATGCTTGCCACGTGTAAACAGAGATGTTTTGAGACGTCTCAAAACATCTCTGTTTACACACAATCAGCAGTGCTGGAGTAGGCATTAGAGAAATGGTTGAAATGGATCAGGCTGCTTATATCATCGTAAGCCCCTTCCCCATTGCACTCCATGCCCTATTGGTCTCCTCGTTTCATGCAGGGGGCGTTGATAATCCCCATGGAGCATCAGACGGCCAACGAGGCTTGGAGGGGCATGGATGGATGGACACACAGAGGCAGGAGGTGCAAACATTATGTATGTGTCTCTGATGCCCTGACTGACTTCCCCCACTGACCCCTGACCATGCCCCTTTGGTGCAGGGAGCACTGATAATCCCCATGGAGCACCAAACGGCCAACAGGGCTTGGAAGGGGACGGATGAATAGACAGAGGGGAGGGAGAGGTGCTGTGGGTGAGTATTTACCTTCCTATTGCACTCCCTTCCCTGTTGGTCTCCTCGTTTTGCACAGGGAGCGTTGATAATCCCCATGGAGCACCAGACGGCCAACGAGGCTTGGAAGGGCATGGACACTCAGAGGCGTGCCGCCCTAAGGAGCGTGCTGGAGGACGGCGGCGTCGGGCGGCGGGTTTTGTTTCTAGCGGACGTGCTGAGGGCGATCGTATCACGGCGGATGGCAGAGCAGCTGTTTTCATTGCTGGATGCATATCAAGTGGTGCAAGAGATCATGCCGGAGGTATGTTACTGGACTGTAGATGGTGTGACTTTAGGGCTGAAAAGTGTGTGAATGGCAGAACAGCTGTTCTCGCTGCTGGATGCCTATCAAGTGGTGCAAGAAATCATGCCCGAGGTGTGTGTGTGGGGGTTTTGGTTTGCTCTGCATATGGGTGTGGCCCCTGTTGCACTGCGTGTGGGTGTGCATGTGGTGTGTAGCAGCGGATGGCAGAACAGCTGTTCTCGCTGCTAGACGCTTATCAAGTGGTGCAAGAGATCGTGCCGGAGGTATGTTACTGGACTGTAGATGGTGTGACTGTTGGTGACGTGATGTGACTGTAAGGGTTGAGAAGCGTGTGAATGTAAGGGCAGAGGAGCTGTTTTCGTTGCTGGACGCTTACTAAGTGGTTCAAGAGATTATGCCAATGTCTCTCCCCTCTCCCATCTCTCAGCCCATGCCCTTGTGTATGTAACCGTCGCCCTGCACATGCATGCACCCCCTGTGCTTACACTCCCCATTCTCTCTTCCAAGATTCTTCTCCCCTCTCCCAGCTCGCTGCCACATTTCAGGACCTCAAGGGCAGCAATGTGTGGGGGGCGTGCGAGGGCCTGCCGCTGCTGCTGGGGCGAGCAGTGGCAGCATGGGCGTCGCAATTCCAGCGCCTCATGCTTTTCCCCAACATCCCTTCCATTCCCTACTCTCTGCCAATGTTTATCGTCCCACACCCCAGCTCTCAGCCACCTTTCAGGATCTCAAGGTCAGCAACGTGTGGGGGGCGTGTGAGGGCCTGCTGATGCTGCTGGGGCGAGCAGCAGTTGTGACGTCTCGCTTACAGCGCCTCAGGCTTTCCCCTACATTCTATCCAGAGTATTCCCACACCCCTCTTCTTTGCCTATGTCTGTCCTGTCTCCCTCTCCCAGTTCGCTGCCACATTTCAGGACCTCAAGGTCAGCAATGTGTGGGGGGCGTGTGAGGGCCTGCCGCTGCTGCTGGGGCGAGCAGTGGCAGCATGCTTCCAGCGCCTCAAGCTCTTACTGGAGGACTCTGCTGCTTCTAATCTCGCTGATGCTATGCGGAAACCCGTTCCCGCCAAGAAAGCAGCCCTGAGGTGAGTGGAAGCGTTGCAGGGGAGACTGGTGAATGAGGTACGTGCTGTTTGTATGGCGGTGGCGGGAGCAGTGGCAGCGTGCTTCCAGCAGCGCCTCAAGCTCTTGCTTGAGGACTCTGCAGCTTCTAACCTCGCTGATGCCATGCAGAAACCAGTTCCTGCCAAGAAGGCAGCCTTGAGGTGAGTATCAGTCCTGGTTAATGCCTGCAGTGGTGAGAGCAGCAGCGGCAGCAGCAGCAAAGGCAGCGTGCTTCCAGTGCCTACAACTCTTACTGGAAGACTCTGCAGCTTCTAAATTCGCTGACGCCATGCGGAAACCTGTTCCTGCCAAGAAGGCAGCCCTGAAGTGAGTGGTAGGGGCAGGGGAGAGAGGTGAAAGAGGTAAGCGCCGTTTGAATGACGGAAGCACTAGCACCAGCGTGCTTCCAGCGCCTCAAGCGACTTCGTGAGGACTCTGCTGCTTCGAATCTTGCTGATCTGATGCCATGCGCAGCCTGTTCCTGCCAAGTTCTGAGATCATGCCTGATAAGTCTTGTGCACACATGTCACAACCGTCCCCTTACCCTTGCTCGCCCTTGTTCCCCTTCGAATCTCTGCTCTGCCCTCTTATTCAGTTTCCTCACTCACGGCGCCATCAGCAACAGCAGCAACCCTTTTCTCCCTGTTCTGCTGTCCTTCCCCCAGTTTCCTCACTCGCAGCGCCACCAGCAACAGCAACACGGCAGTAGCACCACCAGACAAGCCGGTTTATGAGATCTCAAATGTTGCACCCATCCCCACCCCACTGGGCCCACCCCGTTTCTGTCCTACCCCTCAGCTTTCTCACGCGCAGTGCCACCAGCAACAGCAGCACGGCGGTGGCACCAGACGAGTCGGTTTATGAGATTGTGCCGCGAGGGGGCGCTGTGGATTCGATCACGAGCTATGTTGCGAATTACATCCGCAGCTACATGCAACGGTGCGCGGGGGTTTGTGGGGGGTAGAAAGGGTTGAGTGGGACAGGATAGGGGGTGTTGTGGACTCGATCATGAGCTACGTTGCCAACCACATTCGCAGCTACATGCAGCGGTGAGCGTGGTGGGGGGGAAAGGGGGTGGGGGATGGGAGTAATGGTAAGCCAAGGAACGGAGAGGTGAGTGCTGAGAAGGGGTGCTGTGGACTCAATCACGAGCTATGTTGCCAACTATATCCGCAGCTGCATGCAACGGTGCGTGGGAGTAGGGGGGGTGAGGAGGGGCAGGACTGAGTGAGGGTAGGGGGGGCAGAAGTGGGGGTTAGTGGAAAGAGAGGGGGGCTGTGGACTCAATCACGAGCTACGCTGCCAACTATATCCGCAGCTACATGCAACTGTGCATGGGAGTGAGGGGGGGAGGGGGAGGAAGAGTGAATGAGAGCAGGGGACAAAAGGACAAGTGCTGTGGAGAGGGGGGTTAGTGGAAGGGGGGGGGCTGTGGGCTGTGGAAAGTACAAATAACAGGATGAGCTAGACGAAGACAATAACAGGGAACACAAGGACAAGAACTGTGGACAAGGTAGTTGTTTCCCTACCCCATGTTCCTCCTTCCCTACTTACCTTCCCATTGTCCCCATTGCTCCCATTTTACCTGCACGGGCAAGGACAGAGCAGCTATGTTGACTCCCTCACCTCCCTCCCTGTTCTCCCTTCTCGAGACCCACACACTTGACGACCTCTGCTTTCCCTTTCGTTGTCTTCTTCTTTCTTCCCCTCCCAACCCCAACCCACCTGCACATGCAAGGCAGACAATGATACATTGATTCCTCACGTCAATTTTCTCTCTCCTTAAGCCCATCCAGTCCAAGACCCCAGCTCCCTCACAGCACACATTTCAACTTATTATCCTTCCACCCCTCCCTTCCTCCCTTGCCGCTTTCCTCCTTTCCCTCTCAAACCCCACCTGAGCAGGCAAGGAAGGAGAAGCTACGTGGATTCCCTCACATCTCTCTTCTCTCTTCTTGAGGCTCATCCAGACGAAGACCCCAGCTCCCTCACAGCAGATTTTGCCCTCCTCTCTCTCCCCGCCTCCTCCTCCCTCTCCCCTCTCGCCTCCTCCAATCCGATCGCTGCTGCTGCCGCCGCCGCCACCATGAACGCCACGTCAGCATCTGCCATGTCAGCAAACGGGAGGGCGCCAGGTGTCGGGAGGAGCCTGGAGAGCGAGACAGCTCAGCTGGTGATGGCTCTAAGGAGGAACCTAGAGATTAGAGCAAGGCTCTACCCAGAGGAGGAGTTACAGCAGCTATTCCTGATGAACAACCTCAACTATCTCGTCAAGTCCATGTGAGTGGTCCTCCTAGCAAGATGGAAGGACAGGGAGGAGCGTATAGAGTGAGACAACTCAGCCTCAGCTGGTGATGGCTCTAAGGAGGAACCTAGAGATCAGAGCAAGGCTCTACCCAGAGGAGGAGTTACAGCAGCTCTTTCTTATGAACAACCTCAACTATCTCGTCAAGTCCATGTGAGTTGGGTGATGTTTTTCTTCAAGCTGTCTAGACATTGCGCACTCCAGTTGACAAAGATTTTTTAAGGCTTTTGACTTGACTGTTTTTTACCTGGTTTTTATCTCTTTTTTTCTTTCTTTTTTTTACTCGGGCAGGAACGACTGGCACGGGTGGCACGCACAGGGCATTGAAAAGAACTTGTCTGCTGTGAGAAGGTATGCCATTGCTGCTGTGTTGTATGAATTGCATGGCTGCAATAAGTGGTGTTAATTCAGTTGATTGAAAACACGTGTTCCAAAAGAGAGCTATAGCAAGCTGTGGTGCGGAGCAGTTCAGAGCGGAAGCATATTGCCGAACATTGAAAAGAACCTGTCTGCTATGAGAAGGTATGCCGCTGCCAGTGCTGGCAGAGAGTCATGGTGGCTCGGAGAGGTATGTCTGCAGATTCGGGTGCAGAGCGGTTCAGAGTGGTAGCACATACAGGTATGCCGCTGCTGCTAGCTGGGATGTGTGGCCGTAGAAGAGGGTTGGGTGGAATGTGGTTCAGAGCGGTTCAATCAGCCTCCTTCCCTCCTCATTCTATGTATTGAGTGTGGTGCAGAGTGGTGCAGACTTTTTACCAGACCGAGTGGTGATGGAGAAGAGGGTGGCTTCAGCATTCTTCCCTCTCCTGTGTGGTATCACACCCGTTCCCTCTTCTCCCACCGGGGAGGGCGCCAAGGATCTCATGGTAGTGCTAGCAGACCTGGATGACGACTGGGTAGTGGTAGAGTGCGGTTCAGAGTGGTGCAGCCTTAATACCTCTTGTTTCCTTGCGTTTCCCTCCTTTCAACCACCAGGGAGGGCGCCAAGGATCTCATGGTGGCACTGGCAGACCTGCATGATGACCGTGTGGTGGAGAGTGGTGCAGAGCAGTGCAGACCTGTTCAGTCTCCCTTCCTCTCCCCTCACCCACCAGGGAGGGCGCCAAGGATCTCATGGTGGCACTGGCAGACCTGCATGACCACTGAGTGGTAGTAGCATGCGGTGCAGCATGGTAGAGTGTGGTGCAGCAGACTTCTTCCCTCTCACTCCCGTGAAGCCCCCATCGAGGAGGGCGCCAAGGATCTCATGGTGGCGCTAGCAGACCTGCATGACGACCGAGTGGTGGTAGAGTGCGGTACAGACTGGTGCAGCCTTCATACCTCTTGTTTCCTTGCGTTTCCCTCCTTTCAACCACCAGGGAGGGTGCCAATGACCTCATGGTGGCTGGCGCTGGCAGACCTGCATGACGACCGTGTGGTGATGGAGGATATTGCAGAGCAGTGTGGATTCGTTCACCTCCCTCCCTCTCCCCCTCTCTCCTTCACCCACCAGGGAGGGCGCCAATGACCTCATGGTGGCTGGCGCTGGCAGACCTGCATGACGACCGTGTGGTGATGGAGGATATTGCAGAGCAGTGTGGATTCGTTCACCTCCCTCCCTCTCCCCCTCTCTCCTTCACCCACCAGGGAGGGCGCCATGAACCTCATGGTGGCGCTGGCAGACCTGCATGACGACCGAGTGGTGGTAGAGTGCAGTGCAGAGTGGTGACATGTGGTTCAGCATACTTTTCTTCCCTCTCCTCCCATTGATCATCAGGGAGGGTGCCAAGGACCTCATGGTGGCGTTAGCAGACTTGCATGACGACAGAGTGGTGCAGCAGCATGCAGGGGCTTTCCAGTCTCTCGCCCTGCTCAAGGTGAGACAGACGGGGCACTCAAGGTGAGACAGACGGGGCACTCAAGGTGAGACAGACGGGGGCACTCAAGGTGAGACGGGGGCACTCAAGGTGAGACAGACGGGGCACTCAAGGTGAGACAGACGGGGCACTCAAGGTGAGACAGACGGGGACACTCAAGGTGAGACCGGGACACGCTCGTAAAGCAACCTTTCCAAACGGGGTTCAGCTGAGTCGTGTGGGCCTGGCACATTGGCAAGTGGCGTTAGCAGACCTGCATGACGACCGAGTGGTGGTAGAGTGCGGTTCAGAGTGGTGCAGCAGCACGCAGGAGCTTTCCAGTCTCTCTCCCTGCTCAAGGAGAGACGGGTGCGTGCATGTCATTTCCTCCCTCTAAACCCTCTCTCTTCATACGAGCTGGTTTTTGAGAATTCTCATAAATCTGTCCGACTGTACCTCATTGCACTGAGGTGGCTTTTGAGTCGACTAAAAAAAAAAACTGTCCGACTGTACCTCATTGCATCGCCCCACCCCATCCAGGTCATGACGGCCATGAGCACCAGTGAGAGGATTCTCGATGCAATGAGGTTTTTGAGCACCAGTCGGACAGGTTCTTAATACATGACCTCATTGCATCGTCGCCCCACCCCATCAGGTCATGACGGCCATGAGCACCAGTGAGGATGCAGTGCAGCCATCCATGCAGTGCAGCCATCCATGCACTCGTTTCGTTCACATCCTCCCCCCTCATCCTCCCCCCAACCCCTTCCCCCCTCCTACCCACCTCTTCACTCCCCCTCTTCCACTCTGCTACCCGCCTCTCTTCATACCCATCCCTGCTGGTAACATCCCATCAGGTCATGGTGGCTCTGAGCACCAATGAGGATGCGGTTCAGCTACCCACTCACTCGTTTTCCCATTCGTGCTTCTACTATGTGCATTGAGGTCATGACTACCGTGAGTGAGCCACCACCGCATCCCACTCCCTTCTACCCCATCACCCCATCAGGTCATGACGGCCCTGAGCACCAATGAGGATGCGGTTCAGCCAACACACAGAACTGCTGCGGATTATGTCAAGGCAGAGATGCAACGGTGAGATTACATGTAACGCTGGGATGACATGTAACGCTGGGATGACATGTAACGCTGGGATGACATGTAACATTGAGATGACATGTATCTGTCAGACAACACCTTTTGGTGAGCGTTCAGTGCGATGGATGGATTGATGAGCAACATGACATGTAAAACCCCTCTGTGCACTCTTGAAAGGATTCAATGTTTGCATTTGCGGAGCTCTCACTTGCGGAGCTCTGAAAGAGGCATAGGGATTGGGACACTCCTTGAGGGGCTGACCTCTATGGGTGCCTCTGGATCATCCTGACGATGTGCTGATATGAATGCCTCAATCATCGTCCCTCAACGCGCAGACTAAAGAGGTTCAACTCGGCGTTTGAGGAGCTTCAAGAGAGGCAGAGGCACTGGGCGATCCCTGACGATGGGCTGAGGCGGAAGATTCGGGCTAAGTGGGCCACGAGCATCAAGGAGCGATACAGAAAGATGCTGCTGCCATACTGGTGGGTGTGGGAGGGAGAAGAGAGTGTGTGGGAGAGAGTGTTATTATTTAAATTGATGCGTATCCGTGTGAGCTAATTGGTTCTTTTGCCTGTTCTCATGAGCAATTGCTGTGTTAGCGTGTGTGTGTGTTTTCCTCAATATCTCCCCACCCCATACTCCACACCAATCTGCCCTTGTACATGGTTACGCCTTGCAGGGATGACTTGACATCATGCAAGTTCTATGCGTTTACACCAGAAAGAGTAGAAGAAATAATTCAGCACACTTTCTTCATGGACCCTTCTGAATGAACACTGATTTGTTTTTCACTCTTAACCAGCATAAAATAATAAATAGAATGTGTAATTATATTCTGTTGCAACATGAATCTAGTGTACGTAGCTTACTAATAACGTATCGCATCATCTGAATTCCTCTCTTGTCTGGGATTTTTTCTTCCCAGGGTTTCCCGCTATTTTGCAATCGCGCATCGGTGTCGCGACTCGCGATCAACCTGGCACACACAGTATGATGCTCAGCCCTTGCCAATTCGGTTCGGATTTGGCTGTGCTTTGGTTCCCAACAGCTACCTTTCCCACTTCTGGAGGAACACTAGACCATTTCATCTCGACCTCTTTAGTTCCAACCGTGCTTTACTCATGATTGTCAGATGCAGTACTTGTATTGTTTTGTGCAGTGCCAGTTATTAGCATTTCGTGTGCCATTGGAATCCATACATCCTATTAACGGCCCAGAAGCCACTCGGATGGAGCTTACGCAATGCGTTGCGGTCACCAGCATTAAGAGAGGTCAATCGAATCTGGGTATTTTCACGCGTGGTACGTACAATATTTGATCGCTTCGGCAGATTTTTTTCTCAAACTCTGCTCCTCGTGAATCACAATGTTGGAAACTTTTCGAGTTTCACGGCTAGCTCACAAACCGATCCCTTTCAAGGCGTCGCTTACTTTAACATAGAGTAAGCCTCGCACCAGCAAGATCTGTATACATCGAGGTTGAAGTTGTAAATTGCAAATCGAGAGGTACGTGCTTGGCGGTTTGATTAAGGCAAAGGCATGGCTGAGAGGAACCTGCAGTCGTTCAGAGGTTGGGGTGGGCATGCCTTGCGTGTGGGGGCTTGCATGTCAGGGGTTTCGTGTAAGGGCTTTCTTACCAGGACTTCAAAATCTCGAACTATCGGTCTTGTGAGGGTTTGTGAGGCTTGTTCAAGGTTAGTACTGGAATTGATGCAGAGCTAGATTTACTTTTAAATAGACTCAAAAGAAGACTTGTGTTGTGGTCATGGTTTACTGAAAGAAATGTTTCTTCCGCGAGTGAAACATACTGAGACAATTTCACAGCAGGTTCATGAAAGGTGCACAGAATGTTTACAGAAGTTTCACCAAGCAGTCCTTACATGGCCTCCTCCCATCCTCCTCCCTCCCTCATTCAATTATGTACATACATCATCACATATGCTACAGATCACACCAGCCCAGCCACCACAAAGCCATAGCGAAGCTCCAGCCATTCATCCTTCCACACATCCTTTCATGCGTCCTCGACGAATCAAAGTTGTGTCCTCAGCCTTATTGAGTGACTCGGTTCTTTCTATATTTTCCCTTCCTCGGATTCTCGCAAGTCCAACTCCCTTGCAGGGTTCCAAAGTTGTGATTCCCAAGAGGAGACTTGAAAGCCTCGACTCAAAAGTCACCCCCTAACCTCTCAGCGGCTTGTCTACGGGTCAATTGGGAGACCAATGGGAACATCAATGGGAATTCCGATGCGACGCTTGCAGCAGCGCGGGCCAGTCTTAGCCGAGTAGCAGCAGCGGGGAGGTTCAGTATCGGATCCCTGGCAGCACTGCCGGCCACAGCAATAACTGCCAGTCACCTCCCCGTTATAGTCAATCCCAGGACAGCATTCCCCGCCTCTCACGCCGGGGATGCTGCAGCACTGGGGCTTTAACTCATCATTGCAGCACACGCTTCCGCCGCAGCAGGAGGAATTTTTCGGGCAGCCACACTGCCCGCCGCAGCATTTCACGCCGCCCGGGCAGCACTTGCCGTTGCAGCAGGTGGAGCCGGGTTCGCAGCATTTGCCATTGCAGCAGGTGGTGCCGTGCTTGCAGCAGGTGCCGCCGCAGCAGTAGCTGGTGCGGGTACTGCAGCAGGTGCCAGCAGTGGTGGGATCGCTTTTGGGAGACGGCAGGCAGCAGGTGAGCCCTATGGATTCGCCTCCCAGGCAGCACTTTCCGCCACAGCAACGGGGGGAGTTGCCCTGAGGCACAAGAAGGAGAGGTATGACATAGAGGGAGAAAACAGAGGGTTTGAACATGTAGGTTAGCAAGTCGGATTGGGTCGAGTTTAGAGTTGCTGGTGGGCGACGGCAGGCAGCACGTGAGGCCCATGGACTCGCCTCCCAGGCAACACTGGCCGCCACAGCAACGCGGTGAGTTTCCCTGCAAAAATGGCAAGGAGGATGGAGGAGAGAGGGAAGGCACGGAGTGAGACGATAGACCTTTCCAGTTATTCAGACGGCAAGCAACAGGTGACGCCTATGGACTCGCCTCCCAGGCAACACTGGCCGCCACTACAACGCGGTGAGATTTCCTGAAAAACGGGGGAAGAGGTATGGCAGAGAGGGAGAGAATAGAGGAGTGGAGATGAAGTAAGGTCAGGGGTCTTCGAGATGACTCAAGGGGCGCTGGTGGGAGACGGCAGGCAGCAGGTAGGCCCTATGGACTCTCCTCCCAGGTAGCACTGGCCACCACAGCAGCTCGGTGAGTTTCCCTGCAAAATCGGGAAGGAGGATGGGGGAAAGAGGGAAGACACGGAGTGAGACGATAGACCTTTCCACTTACTTAGATGGCAGGCAACAGGTGAGCCCTATGGATTCGCATCTCTGGCAACACTGACAGCAACCCAAGGAGCTTTCGTGGGGAAGGGAAAGAAGAGGTATGGAAGAAAAGAAGTGAAATTGCAAGTAGCTTTTAGAAAAGAGGGCGTGTCACAATAGGGCAAACCTGGAATGGGCTGGGCAGGAATTTCAAGCCCAAGTGGAGATTACATGACGATGTTAGGGACCGATGAATGCGTGCGGTGTTTTGAGACGTCTGAAAACACTTCTTCATGAGTGGAGTGACGTGCACACCAAAAACAGCAACTCTCATTGCTGTGAATCGTTGAAGCTCCCGAAATTCCCACAAGGCAGCGGCTCCCATTGCAATGAACCTTTGCAATGAATCTTTGAATATAAGCTGATGTGGTGAACTTACAAGACAGCAACTCCCGTTGCAATAGATCTGGGGTCCCCAGCACCCAAACTGGGGCTTTGCAGTGTCTACTGAGCTATCCTCGAGCACCCAAGGGCACGGTTGATGTGGCGGCTTGCATGGAAGGAGGACGGGGTCAACGGGGTCAATGGGGTCAATGGGTTCGCTGCATCCGCCAAAGCGCTTGCAGATGGGGTCGGGGAACTTGCCAAAGATCACCCGCCTTGGTGCTGCAGAATCCTCGTTTGAGAGAATCTCGTTTGTAGCAGGTTCGCCTGCTGCTGCTGTGGTGGTAGCTGCAGCATGATCAGTGGACGAAGATTCTGCAAGACTAGAGTGATGGGGAGAAGCAAACGAGCTGGTGAGAGCAGACGAGAGGAGAAGAAAGGCTGAAAGGACTTGGAAGAAGGAAGCCATTGCTGCTGAAGAGCTGAACAGCACTCGAGCTAATCACTTGGGAGTCCTGGAATGTGCTCAGAACTTGTTGAGATTTATAGCCACATGCACTGCTTCAGCTTGAATTTGTTGCGGCAGTCTCTGTGGGCTGGAACGGCGCCGCCAAATTCAGTCAGTCCGCGGGGAATGAGTGCGTTTGAGTGCGGTTCGATGGATGTCGATTTTACAGTATGGATTGTGTCGGGCGAGGATTCTTGTGGCACTGGGAGGTTCCTATTGGCTGAACGGAAGTCAACGAAGCGAGGACGGGCACATCTGCTGCACGGAGGTTACCCAGGGCTGGGAGATGGCCCAATGCGTGTTTACACGCCGAGTAGATCTCGACTCGATCCATGTACATATAAGGAGGTACAACGTTATGGTGAAATCTTTACTGTAAGCAACACGGCGGCTGTAACGATGCCTGTTTCCAGGTTTTTGAACACGGTTTTTTAAAAACCGTCACTGGCTGTGTGCTCTTGCTAACTTGCAAATGCAGCCTGCACCGACCAGAACCGCCTCCAAGCAAACCCAAGTTTTACAATCGACGAGTTACTTGTAGCACCTTCACGAAGCTCGCGAAATCGCCTTAACCGCAACCTCGCCAACGGAGCTGTCAGCGGAACTATCACCTGTCATCTAACCGTCAATCAACGTCTCCCGCGCTTTGGATTCCTCCGAGTCCCATCGCAACCGTCCGCGCCATACGCGACGCGGCTTCCGAATCAATGGTGTCCGTCCGTCCTGAATAGATGGCTTTCTGGACACCAGCCTACCCACCGAGAGAAAAATAGTCTTCACCGCTTTCTATATACCGAGCTATTTGTGTTTCCAGCTTGAGGATCCACATGTTGCTGTTGGTCGAGATTCAAGAAATACGTATTTTGCCTCAGGTCGACCTAGAGAAGTCACGAAGTCTCAATTCGTGCATTTTACGTTCAGCATTCCCGACTGGTAGTGGTCGCACTTTTCCGAAGCCTCGGTAGTAGGAAGAGCCTACTATTCGTGTGTTCCTTCCCGCTATGGGCGGCGCGTTGGCCAAGCCAAAGGAGCGAGACGCAAAGGGGAAGGTTGTTCTTATAACGGGGTGCTCCAATGGAGGAATTGGCTACGCTATCGCCGAGTAAGCCGCTTACGTCTTCAATTCTCGACCTCATTATAATCACGCTCGATTTCCACGTCATGCTCTTGGATTCCTTGGATTTGAAGCTGGATACTAACGCGCTTATTGTCACGCTTTCTTCTGTCACGTCACTTGCTAGGGAGTTTCAGCGCCGCGGCGCGAACGTGTTCGCCACGTCACGCCGAGTCGACACGATGAAGGGGCTGAAGGAGAAAGGGGTGAACACGCTTGCGCTCGACGTCACATCTGAGCCGTCCATCCAGGTGATCCGATGGCTGTGACCTAGTAGCATGTGTCCTCGTTAGTGAGCAACTCACGATGTGTTTTGGCTGGACTGGTGACCCTGCCATTCCGCCCCCACGTCCCCGCCACTCCCCGCTTCATTCCCTCCCCACTCTCTTTCCCCCTCTCCTCCGCCCCCCTCCTCTCCCCCTTTACTCCGCCCCTTTCTCCCCCTCTCTCTCCTCCTTGCCTCCCTCTCCGTCTCCCCCTCTTTCCCCTCCTTTTCCTGCAGGCCCTCCATCCACTACTCCTCTTTCCCTCCACTACGGGCTGTAGTGAAGGAGGTGGCAAGCTCAGCAGGGCGGGAGGACGTGCTTGCTGGTGAACAACGCCAGGTTTGGTGGGCTGTTGGGATTGCCATACTGTGCCTCCTTCGGCCCCACCCACGTCTTCTCTCCTCTCCACCACTACAGGCAGTAGTGAAGGATGTGGCAACCTCAGCAGGGGGGGTGGACGTGCTGGTGAACAGCGCCAGGGTGAGGGCTGCCAGGGCTGACTAGCTCTCTCTCCCTTCCACCCCATCCACCTCTCTCTCCCTTCCACCCCATCCACCTCTCTCTCCCTTCCACCCCATCCACCTCTCTCTCCCTTCCCCCCCATCCACCTCTCCGCTTTCCCCTACAGGCAGCAGTCAAGCAAGTATGTTTTTTGAGAATTCACAAAAAACATATCCTTCCCCCCCATCCACCTCTCTGACTTCACCCAACAGGCAGCAGTCAAGCAAGTCACGGCTGCAGCAACGCGGGCTGGGGGCTGCCATGGGCAGCGGGGCGGGTGGAATTTGGGGCGTGGTTGATCGGATCCGATCCGATCTCCAGGACGTGTTGGCCAACAAATCAACGCCGGGCGTGGGCTTTGGGGTTTGACAGGCTGTCTTTCCTCCTCTCCCCCTAACCTCTATCTTCGCACAAGCAGCAGTGAAGGAGGTGACATGGGCAGCGGGGCGGGTGGACGTGCTGGTCAACAACTCAACGGGGGGTGTGAGCTGCTGAAATTACGGTACCATGCCTCCCCGCCTCCCCTCTACCCACCCCACAGGAGGCAGTCAAGGAGATCATGCGTGCAGGGCGGGTGGACGTGTTGGTCAACAACTCAACGGGGGGTGTGGGCTGCTGAGTTTGCCGTACTGTGCCTGCGCCGCCTCCCGTCCCCTCCCATACAGGCAGCAGTCAAGCAGATCACCAGCCAAACGGGGCGGGTGGACGTGCTGGTCAACAACGCCGGGTGTGGGCTGCCGGGACCACTGGCTGAACTACCCATGGCGAGGATCAAAGAGGTGCGATGGCGGTACCCGTGGGTGGGGTGAGATGCGGAGGTGACGATGGAACAAGGTAGTTGTTTGTGTCTGGATAGAGGGTGTGAGCTGCCGGGGCCGCTGGCAGAACTACCCATGGCGAGGATCAAAGAGGTGCGATGCGGTACCCGTGGTAAAATGCGGTAACCGTGGTACAATGCGGTAACCATGGTACAATGCAGTAACTGTGGTACAATGCGGTAACCGTGGTACAATGCGGTAGCCGTGGTACAATGCGGTAACCGTGGTACAACGGTAACCGTGGTACAATGCGGTAACCGTGGTACAATGCGGTAACCGTGGTACAATTCGGTAACCGTGGTACAATGAGGTAGGATGAGGAGGCACAATGATGATGCGGGATGTAAAGGTGGGACGAGGAAGGGAGCAAGGGAGAATGGGGAAGGCTGCTTCTTACAAAAGAACTCATTAGATCAAAACATTTATACGACCTTCTTCTTATACAGCCTCTTTGCTATCAAACGCAAGATTCTCCTTCTTGCCCCCACACCTACCCTTCCCCCTCTCCGCTCCCCACTCCTCCTTCTTTCTCCTCCATCTCCCTCTTCTCCTCCGTCTCCCTCTTCTCCTCCGTCTCCCTCTTCTCCTCCGTCTCCCTCTTCTCCCCCGTCTCCCTCTTCTCCCACCCTCTTCCCTTGCATGTGTACGTACGATCCGTATGAAGCGCCACCATGTTTACTTGTAACACTGGATACGCACACGGAGCATCAGCGCTGTCTTCTCTTCTCACAAGCCATGCACTTTCCCACGGTCTTTCTTTTGCATTGATGCGAAAGCGCAACGGCAAGCCATGCCGACAGGCTGGCTCGCCCTTTTCCCTACTCTCAAGAAGTTTTGAGTTTGCCTCTCAAGTATTTCCCTACTCTCAAGAAGTTTTGAGTTTGCCTCTCAAGTATTTCCCTACTCAAAACGCCATGCCGACAGGCTGGCTTGCCTCTTCCTACACTCAAGAACCACACACAAGCACAAGGGCAGGCAAATCGTTCTCCCTCCCTTCTCCCTCTCTTCTCCCTCCCTTTCTCCCTCCCTCTCTGGGCTTTCCAGGTGTATGACACGAACCTGTTTGGGGCATTGGCGTTGTCCCAGGCAGTGTTTCCCTACATGCACAAGCAGAGGAGCGGGCGAATCATCAACGTTTCCAGTGTTGCTGGTTACACGTACAGGTGGGGTGGTTACAGTTACAGGTGTGGTGGCATTGCAGTGTCCCCCCTACAAGCACAAGAATCAGAGCGGCATGAGAAAAGGAACCATCCTTGCTTGCTTACTTCCTTGTGTTATTTCGCCCGCTTTCTTTCTAATTGCATTTTGTGACCAGGCCCTTAGTGAGGTCGTATGTCAGTAGCAAGCCGACGCTGGATCCAATCACCACTGCATGCGCAATCACCACTGCATGCGCAATCACCAAAGGCGGAAATGAACTATTCACCCCACCACCCCCCCTCCCCTCCCCCCTCCCTAAACCCACCCTCCACGCTGCATGTTGTGAGCAGGCCCTTCGTGGGGACGTACGGGAGCAGCAAGGCGGCGTTCAACGCAATCAACAACTGCATGCGCGTGGACATAAAACCACTTCCCCCCCCCCCCCCCCCCACCCCCACCCCCTCGGATCCCCCCCTCCTCGCACTGCATGTGTTGGGCAGGCCCTTCGTGGGGACGTATGGGAGCAGCAAGGCGGCGTTCAACGCGGTTACCAACTCCAGCCACCTAAGAAAACCATTTCATCCCCCCCACCCCACCCACCTGTCATTGCTTGAGCAGCCCCTTCGTTGGGGCGTACGGGAGCAGCAAGGCGGCGTTCAACGCAATCAACAACTGCATGCGCGTGGACAAAAACCACTTACCCCCCCCAACCCCTCCCCCCCTCCCCACCCCCACCCCCTCGGAACCCCCCCTCGCACTGCATGTGTTTGGCAGGCCCTTCGTGGGGACGTATGGGAGCAGCAAGCGGCGTTCAACGCGGTTACCAACTGCATGCGCGTGGAAATGAAACCTCTGGGGATCGGTGTTGTGCTTGTTACACCCGGCTACATCCGCACCAACATTTTCAGGTGCTTTCTTTGAGCTACCTCAGTAAATGAAATTCGTTTCTTGATGAGGCACTGTACTGGTACTGTGCTTTGTTGTATTCGCAAAACCAACAATTTTAAGGTGCTTTGCTACTTTTCTCTAGTTGTAGCAATGGAATTTCATGCCTTGATTATGGGTTATTGCACTACACTCAAACGCCCACCTCCCACTCCCCGCCAACAATCGCGCTGTTGTCTCCATTTTAGGAATCCCCCTCTCACTACCACGCTGTCTTTCCAACCCTGAACTCCCCTCCTCTTCCCCGCTTCCCCCTTCCCCCCACCCTACCTCCCCCCTTCTTTCTCCCGATTAATTCCCTTGCTTTAGCGAGAATGTCACCTGCATATTAGTGCTTCAAGGCTTGAGATATCTCAGGCGCCTCAAAAGAATCCGTTACTCCTTGCCTGAACATTGTTTTTCCCCATCCGTAACCCCATCCGTCCACCCATCCGTCCCCCCATCCGTCCCCCCATCCGCCCCCCCATCCGCCCCCCATCCCATTGATGCTTTAGTGGCATCAATGCTCTCACATCCCTGTCCTCACATTCCCACACCATCGGCCATAATGATCCTCTAGTCATTCCATGGAGTTATGTTCTTTCTTTTGGTCCCACGAGTCTTTCTTTTGCCTTCTAACACTAACACCTCCACCTCTCGTGCGGCAAGAAAACCCCCTCCACATCCCTGTCCTCCCCACAGCCAATCAGATATTCAGTCTACTCATGTCCTCCCAATTGTCTTCTCCCTCCTTCCGTTACCACCCCCATCCTTCATGCAGCAAGAATGTCTCTCACATTCCTGTCCTCCCGCCATCAAGCCCGTTTAAGCCCATGGAGATTAATGTCCGCGAATCGTACGCCAAGCGGGCCAAGAACCAGTCATTTCCACCCGCATCTGAGCTGGCAAAGCGCATCGCTGATGCAGCACTCAGCCCAAATCCTCCTATCAGGATTTTGTTTGGAATGAGTGCGCTTCCTGCTGTTGTTGCAGGGGCAATGCCTTTATGGCTTCAAGATTTTGTGTATTCACGACTGTTTGGCAGTGGGAAAAATCTGTAGACTATTCCCATGCCAATGTGTTCAGCCGAATATTATTGGCCTCTGAAGTTCCCAATTTCCAATGTGTTTCTTCAATACACCATATTCTCGGCGTTACGCTTATATGCGAGGCGAGGCGAGCTCAAACCAGGGGTCTTTTTCCAGAGCAACGACTATCACGACTTGTTCATGACCGCTACAGTCCAGCTTCCTGGGCAAACGTCATGATTATCTCCGGTTTGTTCCACGACATCAGGAGCACATCAGCAGCGTACATCTGCCATCAGAATCCGCGACAGCAACGACTTGGTAATTTCTGAAGTTAAATTTGTGTTTTGGTTTGGACATTCTGCCAAAAACGAGTTGCGACGGACTTTCACACTGCCACTGCAGTGTGCAGGGCGGGATATGTACAGTACTCAAGGAACTCAGAGGTGTTTATGCTCTTGTATTTTTTTTTTTTCGTGACCAAACGAACGCGGATGGTGTGAATGTGTAGCTCCGGTTCACGTATTTCGTTGCGCAACACCCCTTTACGGTGAGCGGACATAGGCCACTGTTGTACAGTGGATTCCGACCCTTCCCTGGATTCCAGGGGTCAGTGTACGCAAAGATGACTGGTCAGTAGAGTTGGATGCTTGTTCACGAATGGCATACGACCCGATAGGGTTTTAGTTTTTTCTGCCCGGGGGCAGCAGGTCATCAGGTCGTCAGTGGGTCGACGGAGCTGACGACCCATTTCCGCTGGGATATTCCGTGCGTCTCAACCCATTTCGCAAATACAAGACAGGTGTATCCAGGCAGGTGTCGACCTCGTTGGTCCAGTGGCTAATCCAGTGCGATCCAGTCGGCTTCCACACGGTGAACATCGGTTTTCTTCACACAGCACTTTGAAATGCACACATGTCACGTTTAAATGTATCTGGTTCGTTTAATGCGGTCAAGTACGCCAAAAAGCGTCAAGTACGGTTTGCCTCGGTGGAAACCCAGAGTCGTCTTTAACCTTTTTTTAGCGCACAGGACCGAATAGAACCAACCAGGTACATAAAACCGTGACCCTCTCTGATCAGCTTGCCACAACAGCTTTTACTGTACCTCATTTCACCAGAAATGTTCCTCCCCCTCCATCACTTTCACAGCAGCACTACCTTCACTCCAAACCCCTTCACTCCAAACTCTCCTCCAACCCACGAACCAGAAAGCTAGCTCATATTTCCGCCACAAGAAACAGAAGTATGGACCCATTGAGGTGCCTGATAGTGCTATTACTTGGGATATTAATCAGATCTTCGCTCGTCCTTTCAGATTCGCTCAGCTTAATGGTAAGTCCGAACACACGTAGTCACAAAAACTTTCCCTCCGCATCGCGACGCGGAGTCTTAATTTCTCAATGCGTTTTACAACCCACTTCTGTCCCAGGATGACGACAGCCCCAGCACCACACTGAAACGAAGTCGAGTTGACATCACCATTGGAAATGCGTTATTCCAGCTCGAAGGCGCCTCCCACGTTGACTCGGATCCAAATCATCATGAAAATGGATACGAGTCATCAGATTTACCCTCGAAAACCTCGCCGAAACCAGCGGAGGAGCCGCAAATCGGCGGGAGATTCTTCGAGGCGGGCGGTTTTGGTTTCCTGCGGCGTCCCGGACGTTCCCGACGACGCGGAGTGCGTGGCGGATCTCGCGGCATTTCCTGAGCTGGCTACGCGCAGCGGTACCCGCACGGTGCGCCGGTTGGCGTGCCTGGCGCACAGGTATCTGCGCCCGTGGATGGGAATTCCCGGGGTGAAGCGGGGGATGGGCGCGCGGGAATGATCAGCGCGCAGATTCTACACCGGATGGGTCACATGACCAGCGTGAGTGTTGCTGGTTTACAAAATTTTAACAATCGAGTCGAATCTAAACCAATAATTTCAGTTATTTGAGCCGCATTTCTCCAAACTTTCTCCCTGCCACCATTTGGCCACCCTAGTGACCACTACCGGTACTCTCTAGAGCTCCTCTCATCCAACTTTTCCTGAAACTACTGTCAGATTAGCGAAAGTTGATTGGTTGAGAAAGTACTCTACCCGCCTCCTCCTGCACCACGAGCACTACTAGTTTTGCAGTGCGGCTACCGTAGCAAAAAAGGTAGCATTTAGGTAGTAGATAGGTTGATAATACCAATTTTGGTCCAAATTTAGACCAAACCAAGACCCACTACTTTGTGATGGCTCCCCGTCCCCCCAACCTAGCGGAATACTGCGTGATGTTGGATGATTGAGCATCCCACCTCTCCTCCTTTCCCCCTCCCTTCCCTGCACCACGAACACTACAGGTGCTCTCCCTCCTCTCACCCTACTCTCACCCTCCTCTCACCCTACTCTCACCCTCCTCTCACCCTCCTCTCACCCTCCTCTCACCCCTCCTCTCACCCTCCTCTCACCCTCCTCTCACCCTCCTCTCACCCTCCTCTCACCCTCTTCTCACCCTCCTCTCACCCTCCTCTCACCCTCCTCTCACCCTCCTCTCACCCTCCTCTCACCCTCCTCTCACCCTGTTTCCTAAGTTACTGATTGAGCATCCCGCCACCACCCCTCCCCCCCCTTCTTCTCCCCCCCCTTCCTCCTTCCACTCGTTCCCACCATGCACCGCAGGTGCTCTCTTGCTGCGGCCACGTGCGGATCGTGAAAGGCAGAATCTACTTCCGTTTCGGCGGCTTCGAGTTCGACTGGTTCAAGATGCGCCGCTTCCTCTTCTCGATCCTCATGATCAAAGAAGCCATCGCACGCTACAGCCTCCATTCCCTCACCGCCGAATTCTTCATCAACACGTGCGACGCGCACATCAGCAAAGCCTCATCTGTCGCAAACCGCCGTGCCGGCCTCCCCATTTTCAGCACGCACGGCTCCATCGGCAGCATCGACATCCTCTACCCGGACCGGTGGATCTGAGCGAAACTTACTTCCGCCGAAGCGAGGCGGATCAGGTACCTTGGGAGCAGAAGCAGAGCCGTGCGGTGTTCCGAGGGACCATGACCAATTTCCACCTGTTTTACGACCGGCAATGGCGCCCCAAGCCCGCGAATGCGCCTCCACCGCATGTCAGACGTGCGGCCAGACCTGATCGACGCGAGGCTTGTGAAGGGAGTGGACCCAGTGTTTCTAGATGAGCTGCGGGAGGATGGGATTAAGATGGGGGGTCGACTCGGTCCGGCGGAGTTGCAAGCGTTCAAGTATGAGATCGAGGTGGACGGTGGTACAGGGACTGTCGCACGTGCGGGATTCTGGCAAGCAACCAGATGATCATCAAGCATGCGAGCGAGTATTTTGAGTATTTCTACCCCTCTCCTGTGCCCATACCAGCACTTCGTCCCCAACACACCGATACTTCGATGATTTATTCGAGCGGATTGAGTGGGCTCGGGATCATGACCTCAAGGCGCAGCAGATTGTGAAGCAGGCCAATCGGCTTGCAAGGGACGTGTGTACATGGGAGGGCCGGCGTCTCTACTGGGCGATTCTCCTCGCGAAATATTCCGCCAGCGCGCTCGAGGATCCTGCCAACGTAACCCGCCCGGCTGTCTTCAAATGCACGGTCCCTCCAATCCAAGGTGACGTGGTGATGCACGGCATTCGCTCCAAAGAGAAGCCGGAAAAATGGTACCCCAGGTGTGGTCTCCAGAGGAAGATGAGGGGCAGTCCCTGTGTACCCACTGGTGCTCAGGGCGTTTGGAAGAGTCCAAGTGGAAATGGCTTAGTGCCGACATTCTGAGTGGAATTCAGGGCTTCAAGCCGCAAATTCCCGGAAATAAGTTCCGAGATGTGTAAAGGCCTGGACTGAATGCATGCTTGGTTAAACTGAAGAAGCTTGAGTGGATGTGGATCACTGGGGCATTCTCAGTGTCACCTAGGTCGGCTGGGGGGTTTCTGCCAGAGACATGCAGGTGCCTAGATCCTTCATGTTACCCCATCACTTAGGTGTTGTCGACCTGTGTGTGTGGCATAGGACATGCTTTATGTCTCGAGGGGAATCATGAAGTGCTGGCAGTGGGCGTTCTGAAACAGCCAGCACAATTGATGTTTACATAGAAATTGCTGGCTTGCACAGTGGGTAAAGAATATGTTGTACAGGCCCTCCGATTCGTTTTTGGCTGTTTGATTCGTCAGACTTGGTACACATTTTAGTCTGATCAATCAGACTTGGTACAAAAAAAAAAAAACCGGAATTTTCAGAGTTCGATCGCATAAAAGTCTGATAAACCTAAGTTCACATCAGTAGTGAAGCTGACTGATCAGCCTAAAACGGGGGTGACAACCTTGCCGCAGTGCTGTTGTCAATGTTTCAGTGTGACTGACACGACAAATTTGTACTTCCAGCGCTAATCGCGGCTGTCAGGTCAGTAGGTACCCGCTAAAAACGCTCTTGGGATCAGAGTACACTCTGAGAAAAAGTCTGAAATATCAGACAAGGCATAGATTTTTTTCTGAATATTCAGAGTTCACAGCAAAAAAACGCTGAAATTTCGGAGTTCACTAAATAAAGAAGGGTGAATATCAGAGTTTTTTAGGCAAATCAGAGAAATTTCTCTGACTTCTGGGGGCCTGCTGTTTTCTCTCGTCCCCGCTTCGCTCACTCCTCTGCCTAACTCCTCCCATACATGCCCTCCACCTTCACCCCTCGCTTATTCTGCCATATCCCCTCTTACCTCCCCATTCCATACAGAACCAAACATGTGCCAGCACCATGTATGTCAACAGGAGTGGGTTGAAAGTTTACCACCTCCAAGCTTTGTGCTTGTGCTTATAGTCTTGTCTTGGCAACACAAATGGAACATTATTTTGCTTTGTTGCATTTTTTCATAATGCTCCAAGTCACGATGTGGTGTATTATGAGACACATCCAACCAACGTCAATAACGGTACATGGCATGGCTATTGTAGGCGACTAATATTATCAAACCCTATACTCAACACAACTGGATGCATGGCAGACCTCCAAAGACAGAACCACAAACTCTGATGCATGGTGGGGAACAAAGAATGCACGGAGGCAGAAAATGAGCAAGGGAGACACGGAGGAAGGGTGGAAGGGTGAGCAAGATGAAACGTGGGTAGGGGAGAGCGAGCGGGAAAGGCACTAAGGCAGAAGCGTGGGCGACGGTGAGAGGATAGGTGGATGAGATGATGGGCGGATGAGAGGATGGGCGGATGAGATGATGGGCGGATGAGATGATGGGCGGATGAGAGGATGGGCGGATGAGAGGATGGGCGGATGAGAGGATGGGCGGATGAGAGGATGGGCGGATGAGAGGATGGGCGGATGCGAGGATGTGCGGATGAGAGGATGGGCGGATGAGATGATGGGCGGATGAGATGATGGGCGGATGAGATGATGGGCGGATGAGAGGATGGGCGGATAAGATGATGGGCGGATTGATGATGGGCGGATGAGAGGAAAAAGTGCGGCAGGGTACAAGGGGAAGGTAGAAGGGTGGAACGGAGGAGCACGGTTGGCGTGAGGAAGGGAGTGGGAGAGTGGGAGATGGAAGGGGGACGGGGGCTGGATTGATGGAGGATGAGGAGAGGAAGAATGGCAGGAAGGAAGGATGGGAGGAAGGGAGGACGGGCAACAGAGAGGGTAAAGAGGGTAGTGAGGCAGAGAGATGGAGGAAGGGAGGAAGGGAGAGGGAGAGGAGGACGACTGTGGGGAACGACGGAACGGAGTAAGGGAGGAGGGCAGGAGGTAAAAGTGTGGCAGGGTATAAGGGTGGAACGGGGGATAGGAGGATCCCTGCACCCTCTCTCCCTAACAACCGCCTCCCCTGCCCCGCCTCCCCCGCTCCCCTGACCCGCCTCATGCAGCACTGCACTCCTTGCTGCCCGCCTGCACGCGCCTGTGGGGCTGTGCGCCAAACACTCTGCTCCAAAGCCGCACCACCACCTGCCATGCGTGTGGGGTTGGTGCGAGAGAGGAGAGGAGGTCAGAGCAAGAGAGAGAAGGGTGGGTGCTGCTGACCACGGCAACCTTCCACACCCCACAGCGAATGAGTCCCGACCCCTTCTCCAGCTCCCAGCCCAGCCCGCCATACCTCCCCGCCCAGGGTGGGTGAGAGGCTGATGGGGAGGGAGAATGAGGGAGAAGGAAATAAGGGTGCAAGGGTGGGGTGGTAACCATGGGCGATGGTAGGAGTAGAGAAGGTGGTACTGGGGAGAGCGTGAGCGACCTAACGAGGCAATGGGGAAGGGATACAACGACGACCCTAAATGCGATGGGAAGGGATGAGAGGGTGGGCGGCATGGGTGGAGACGCGATGGTGAAGAGGGGGAACGTGATAGGCAGGGGAGTGATGACGCCGTGGAGAGAGGTGGGAGAGAAGGGAGGTCGGCGGGAAGGCTAACCGAGGGCGATGGGAGGGCAAGTGTGGGCGACAATGGCGGTGGGTGACGGTGGCGGTGGGCGACGGTGGGGGAAGCGTGGGCGACGTTGGGGGAAGCGTGGGCGACGGTGGGGGGGAGCGTGGGCGACGTTGGGGGGAAGCGTGGGCGACGGTGGGGTAGCGTGGGCGACGGTGGGGGGAAGCGTGGGCGTCGGTGGGGGGAAGCGTGGGCGACGGTAGGAGGAACCGTGGGTGATGAGCGCAGATTTTGTGAGGGAAGGTGGGGAAAGGCATGAGCGACGGTGTGGGGAAGCGTGGGGGGCAAGAGGAAGCGTGAGCGGCGGTAAGGGGAAGCGTGAGCGACGGTGGGGGAAAGCGTGGGCGACGGTGAGGGGAAGCGTGGGCGCGTGCGTGGGGAGGTGTGTGAGAGACGGTGGGGAGAAGCGTGGGGGACGCGGAAGGCGATAGGTCCAAATGCTATGTCTGGGGATGGGCTAGGACTAAAGGTGAAAATGCTCATGGCCTATGCTTTAGTGGCTTTTTATTCTATCTCTTCGCATGATCTAATCGCTTCGCATAGTATGGAAATCGCACGACCTGAATTACCAAAGAAGGCAAGCTGTGCACATTTTGAGCCCTTGTTCCTTCAGGAGGGTGTGGTTGGGACTCTTGCCTACCAAACCGGTTCTGCTCTACGACACTCTCTTTGTTGGGGCTTTGTTTTATGGTAACCAGCCTGGCTCGGGAGGTCAACTGTGGGTTCGGTAGGCAAACTGTGCACAGTTTGCCTTCCTTTTTTTGTAATTCAGGTCTTGGGCTTTAACTCAATCACAAGAGTCTCACAAGTTCCACGATTACTACACGAGAGTTAGAGTAGCAATAAACCAGGTGGGAGGGAAGAGGAGGACGAGGGGGAAGGTCCCCAAGGAGTCCCCAACCAAGGAAACCCCATAAGCACACCAAATCCCTTCCCTATAGGAACCTCATTTTAAACTTTGTCCATTTCCCAACCTCCACAATCCACCTCACCCAAGTTGGCCATACTTGCCAACCCAATTGGTTTCTCCCAACCACTTGGCAAGCATCTACAGTGATGGACGAATTTCCCAACCCCCAAAAGTCTGTACCCCATATTGAGTCACTTCACAACTTCCCAAAGTCGTCGCAACACAAACAAATCTTTGAATGCTCACAACTTCCTCGTTCTTGCTCCGATCGCGACGATTCTTGGTTCGTCGAAAAGCTCTTGAGCAGAGGAGTCACTTCAAATATCTGCTCAAGCCAGATAAAATTCACACAAACTCAGGAAAACCAAACCACATCAAACACACATTCTTGCATACGATCACACCACGCATGCAACGCACGAACATATGATGGGAGGCAGACAGACGTGAATGCAAGTGATAGCATCACATAACATTATCTCCCTATACCCTTCTCACCCCCTCCTTGCCCTTCCCTACATGCATTTCCTGAGCATGCCCCTTGTGGGAATATATGGGAGCAGCTAGAAGATTGTGAAATCATGCTTCGTATGCTGCACACTCTCCATCAAGGCTGTGTTAAGAACAAAGAGTGACTAGAACGAGGGAATATAGGGGTACATATAGGAAACTCTAGCATGTTAGTATAAAGTACATACCAAACATACCAAACTGTACACCCAGCAATGTATGTATAGTTTGACACACCCACTAGGCTAGTTAAGGGGCAGTGCCTAAAAAACATGAAGCAACTCATGGCGGCACTACTACTGTAGCCTCTGAGACAAGTGGCTACAAGGCGAATCAGCAAATGCTGCGGAGATAGCTAGTACAACGGGAGCTAGATTACGGGCTAGGCACGGATGCTCTTGTGATCTCTGCGTTCGTTGTTCCTTAGTCGATTTCCTAGTGCACATACTGGTTGCTAGTTCACGGGGCAAATTGGCAAGAGTTTCACTAGAGAAAGTTGACAACAATGGTAAAAAGAAGTTGACATGACAGGACTACATCAGAGTTAGCATTCAGGTCAGTCGACTTCCACTGAAGCACGGTCGACCGCGCTCCAGCAGGCAAGTCGACGGCGTGCCAATGCTGCAGGTCGACGGCGTGCCAGCGTTGCTCCCGAAGTACAGCATCACACGTGCTCGCAGAGGATTGGGTGCTGAGCCTTATCACCTGCACAACGCACCCACCATATCATCCTCGCGCTGACGACTGTACCTGATCCTCCACGTCGACCTCGGATACCACCACCAAGGCCGGTCTCGCCAACATCGCCTGGGCGACCGTCTCATTCCTCCGCAGAACCTCGTCACCCGGGTAACCGGGTCGAACAGGTAACCACGTCGACCGCTGCTCCTGTATGTGCCCGTCGACCTCCCAAGTCGACCTCACCAGGTCGGCCACGC